CATTCTACCACTGAACTACATCCCTAGCTCTAGTGTGGTTAAATCTTAAAATATAGTGTTGAGAGTGCAAAGTAAACTGAAGAAAGATACAGGATGTGATATTTTTATAGCTTTAATGTATAAAACCACTATACATTGTTTAAAATACTTGCTTATATAAAAATGTCCATTGATATACATGGGAGGGAAAGCACTAGGACTTGATGAAGCTGCAGGCCCGGCTTGTTCCTGGAGAAGCCAAGTGCTTCAACTAGGCTGTAATATTCTCTTCCTGAGAGTAGGACTGATCAAAATGATCTTGACTGCAAGGGCAGTGAGACTCCACTGGACTCTGTACAGATGGAGCCACACTTTCTGAGAAGACGGTCTGGACTGGTTAGCAAACCACAAGCCCCGTCATGGCCCTGCCTCTACAACTAAGGAAGACTTCATACACTTCAGGCAAAGCAGACTGGTCCTTCCCAATGTGCATGGAATTTCCTGTCACACCTGAACACCCGGGCCCCTCTCCTGCTCAGAAACTTGAAAGCTACTTTTCAGGTAATTCTAAGTTCTCTGCTATGGCTCATAATTCAGATTTTGAGTACTACTTTCCTTTCTGCTTCATTTTGATAACTATTTCTAGAATTATTTTTATTTTTTATTTCTCAGATAGGATCCCAGGTATCCCCAGCTAGCCTTGAACGCCTTATGTAACTTTGCACATCTGTGCAGAACTCTGCATGCTGGCAAGCAGTCTACCAACTTGGCTGCATCCCTGGCCCCATTTTTCTCTATTTCTAGTCATAGAATCCTCAGTGTGGTTCTCTGTACCGCTGTCATATTCTGAAAGGTTTCTCCACTACTGACGTGGTCCTCAGGAGGGACACTGAATTCATTCCTGTTCCACTCAGAGCCTTCGTTCAGCTCCAGATCAGCCTGACAATTCCAGGACAACAGACATTGATCTTAGTTGTTGGGTTTTCAGGTTTCAGAGAGTATCCAGGCTCCAAAATACTTCATTTCTTTTTTAAAAAAAATGTTTGAGAATGTCATTTGTGCATATATTGATCAAATCCATCCCCTCTATCCCCTTCCCTCCAATTCCTCCACTATTCTCTTCTGATTTCATGTGCCTTTTTCTTTTAAATCCTCCAAGTCAACTTAGTGCCGCATGCATGAGGGTAGGGCCATGTACTGAAGTATGAGGATGCATCCCTGAAGAAAACTCACTTTCAGCCAGGCAGTGGTGGCGCACGCCTTTAATCCCAGCACTCGGGAGACAGAGCCAGGCGGATCTCTGTGAGTTCGAGGCCAGCCTGGTCTACAGATCAATATCCAGGACAGGCACCAAAACTACACAGAGAAACCCTGTCTCCAAAACAGAAAACTCACTTTCTGCTCTTCTGACAGCCATCAGTTGCCAATGTCATTTGCTTATTTCAGAGTGGTACATTTTTCTTTTTTCTTTTTTCAATTTAAGTTTTCTTTTATGAGCATTGGTGTGAAGGCGTCAGATCTGCTGGAGCAGACAGTTGTGAGCTACCATGTGGGTGCTGGGAATTGAACCCGGGTCCTCTGGAAGAGCAGCCAGTGCTCTCAACTGCTGAGTCACCTCTCCAGCCCCAGGTGCATTTGTCTTTACACAAGCCAGAAGAGCCAGGGCATACTGGAGGAGAGACTCTGGTGATTGGCAGATCTCCCGTAATTCTGGTCCAGTTAATAACCCATTCAGTGATAATTTGTCTGCCATATGTTGCTGTATTCAGCAGAGTACTAGGTTGAATAAATTTGAAAATAATGAGTCATAACCCTTGCTCACAAGTTACTTAAAACGTCATTATGGAACAAGTCATATATGAAACTACTGGTCAAATTTAGTAAACTACAAAATTGTGACTACCCTTAGAAAATAGGGCCATATAGAGGGCTGGAGAGATGGCTCAGTGGTTAAGAGCATCAAGCTGCTCTTCCAGAGGACCCAGGTTCAATTCCCAGCACACACATGGCAGCTCAAACTGTCTGTAACCCCAGTTCTGGGGGATCTGACACCTTCTCACTAATGCACATAAAATAAGAAAAAAAAGTTAAATAAATAAGAAAAATTTTAAAAAAAGAAAAGAAAATAGGGCCATATAAAACAGAGGCAATCAGCCCTCATTTGCAGATTCTGCCTTTGCGAACTGCCTAGTCCCCCAAACCTACCTACAGTGCACAAACCAATCCTTACAGTGTTTTTACAGCTTTTTCCCAACAAGGAGCAGGGCAGATTTTAGTTGCCTCGTGTGCTTGTTCCTAGCCAAGGCTGAGCAAGGTACACTCTGCCCTCTTGAGTTTTCAGATCATAAGAAAGTAACCTTTCCATGGCCTACTTAGTGCCACTTTTTCACACTTGACTGATTTTGCTGTTAAAAATGGTCCCCAAGCATATTGCTGTGAGATTCTGAAGTGACAAAGGAAATAATATATGGAGAAAATATGTGCACTAAATAACCTTCATTTAGGTACGAATTAACTGTTTGGCTGGAATCTCCAGCTCACCCCTGCTTGATCCAGCCATCCCTCCCTCTCCAAACCCTGCCCTCTCAGAAAAACCTGCTAAGGGGTGGCTCCTCCTCTGAGGCTGCCAGCTCCCCAAGTCCCCACCCAAAGCTTATAATCGGGCACAAACCCAGTTTATGGAGGACCCAGCATCACCCCAACACCTACAGGGTATTTAAGCCCTCTCCTTTGGAACGGCCATGTGATTTCTCTCCTGCCCCCATACCTACCCTGATCTCTAGGGGCTGGAGGACTCAACCAGGAGTTGCTTTGCTCAAATATACCTGGTCTTTTACTTTTTAATTTGGCTTGATCTGGCTTATGGCCTCAGCAGGGAAACCTATTATCAGGGTATAGAAAACCTATCAGCAACAAGGAACATGCATAAAACAAGATATCATACTGGTTGATGAAAAATGTGATCAGAAGCCAAGTGTGGCTGTACATGCCATGCCTGTAATCCCAGCACTCAGACATTGGATGTGAGATGAGTTTAGGCCAGCTTGGATTACCTAGCAAGATTTTTGTCTCAGAACAGTCAAGTGTGTGCATGTGTGAAATCACAATCGACTTTCCTCATAATTCACTAATTCAGCATTCCTGGCATGTTTATACAATTTAACTACTGCAGATAAAGAGAACCAACTACACACTGAAAGTAAAGTATTTCTCAAAATTAACACAAGGAAAAAACAAAAACCAAAACTTCCTAAGAAACTCCTACACAGGTCTACTAAAGAACCTCTGCAAGCAGCAACCCTGGCTCCTGGTGCCCTCTGCCTTTGGCCTCCTTATGGCCTTCCTGTGTCCTCTCTCCATTTAAGTTACCATTTCCAAGAACCCAGACCCCTGCGCTAGATGTCACAGACACGGATAATCAATACACTAATGTACAAATAGGTTCTCCTGTTATATCCTATGTTAACCTGTAACCCCACCTGCTCAAAGTTTCAGGTAATTCCTGGGATTCTCGGAGTTTTCGTTCTTAAAGAAATAGCCAAGTCTCAGGAGAAAGTATGGTGGCCTATGAGTTTTGTCCATAAAAGCCCCCACAACAGGTATCTTGGGGCCACTCAGCTGGAAAGTTCCAGGGAGTGATCCTGACCAACTTCCATCTTGGTCAGTATTTAAGCTTTAGTAAAAGCTTCGTTTAAATATGGCCCGAAAATGGTGGAACTAGTTTTTCTCCAGCGAATCGCAGGATTAACACTCCAAGATGTATTTCTACAAACTCGGGCTGTAGTTGAAGGGAAACTGAATTCGAGCAGCCATCCAAGCCAGATGCGCTCACCCATCACAGAAGGGGCTCCCTTTCCTCGAGGGCAAGGGCGGGAAGTGCACTGAGTGTCCTAATCAGCTAGGCTGGGTCTCAGAAAGGGTTAAGTGACAACCAGTTTTGATTCATTCCATTTTCCCCTCAGTCACTCACTTAACAGGATCTGGAGGATCTGCCAGGTCTAAGAGGAGGCAGAAGGGGCCCTGTCACCCTGTCATGTATGGGGGTGATTCACCAAAAAGGAAATCAGAGAATTAAATGTGTCCAGGAGAGAGGAGGTGGGAGTGGGGGTGAGGAGAGACAGAGAGAAGAAAGAGATAGAGACACAAAGGTGAGAGGTGTGTGTGTGTGTGTGTGTGTGTGTGTGTGTGTGTGTGTGTGTGTGAAAGAGACAGAGAGTGAGAAGGGGGAGGGGGAGAGGGGGAGAGAGAGGGAGAGACAGAGAGACAAAGGTGAGAGGAATGTGTGTGTGTGTGTGTGTGTGTGTGTGTGAGAGAGAGAGAGAGTGAGAAGGGGGAGGGGAGAAGGGGAGAGGGGGGAGGGAGAGAGAGAGAGAGAGAGAGAGAGAGAGAGAGAGAGAGAGAGAGAGAGAGAGAGAGAGAGAGAGAGAGAGAGAGAGAGAGAAACACAACAAGTCTCATTCAGCACCAGCTCAGAAGTCTTAATAAAGCCGTCGGGCACTAGCTTTCTGCGTCTTTAAGAGGCGGTCCGAAGTGTTGCCCTACGCGGAAATGGCTACCTGCGCACGTTCTGCGCATGCCTGGAGTCGCGCCGCCGAAGGAACGGCCCCAGAAGGCAAGATGGCGACTCAGCTCGCGGCGAGACGCTCCTCCCAGCATGCCTAGCGGCCGGCCCGGAGACGAGGCCGAGTGATGGGGATCCGGCGGGACCCTGTGAGCCGCCGGGGCTGAGGCGCAGCCGCGGGCCTGGGCGTTGGACGCTCGCAGAGTGCCAAGATGGAGACGTGGCGCTGTGTGAGGAGGGGCTACGGCCGCTGTGTGGCGGGGCGAGGCCGGTCAGTCGGAGGCGGCGGGCGGGGGGAGGAGGAAGGGGCGGGCGGCCCGGGGCGGGGCGCGGGAGGAAGGCGGAGGAAGAGGGTCCGCGGCGGGGACGCGCCTGGCGCGCTGCGCCGAGGGAGAGGTAACGCGCGGGCGGCTGGCCGGGCGGGCGGCGGCCTCTGGGGTCCTGCTGGCCTCGCGCGGCCTCCACGCTCGCCGCCGCCCGCGCGCGAGGCCTAGCCTGGAGGGAGGCTGCGCGCCCCGGGGTGGCTGGGCCAGTGCCCTCTGCTCGCGAACTTCGGTCAAGCGGAGGCCAACTTTCCTCGGCACTCTATAGTTCTCGCTCCATCCTGGGTCTTTTTCTTTGAATGCGTTCTTTGAGAGTCGGGCGTGATAGCTCACGCCTGTAATCTCTACACCCAGGAGGCTGAGGCAGGAGGATAGCCATGATGTTGAGGCTGGCCTGGATTAGAGTGAAACTCCGCCTCCAAAAATAAAAGAAAAAAATAATGCACTTGAAATTTTAAAGAGCCACAGTCCATGCTGCCTCTATTAATGTAGTGCCCGCAGAATCTTAGATTGGATGCACTGATTGTGTTTTTCTCTAATAAACTTTAAAGATTGGGATGTTAAAATTCCAAAGGTTTGCATAACCTTTAAAACCGTCTGGTGTACCACGCGTGGGAAATAGCACAGTAGCATTACATAAACCGTTGGGATCTGCTAACTCCATTATGCCTTCTTCCTTTGGCAGTTCAGTTCAACAGTGTTTTCTGAGTACCAGCTGTGTGCCTGGCATCGTGCTAGGCCATCTCTTGGGTAGAGACCCGGCTTAAAGTGCCCCTCCAAAACAGTAGTGGTGTAAATAGCTGCCGATCCAAAGACTAAGTGTCACAGTGCAGGTGGCAGTATAGTCACATATCAAGATAGAAAACAGCAGCTCCAGCACTGGGGAGGTTGAAGCAGGAGGGTTAAGAGTTCAAGGCCAGCCTGTCCTGCATGGTACCCTATCTCAAAAAGAAAAAAGAAATTGTGAGGGGTTTTTGTTTGTTTTGGTTCGTGTTAAGAGACAACAGGGTTTCTCTGTGTAGCCCTGGCTGTCCTGGAACTCTTTCTGTAGACCAGACTGGTCTTGAACTCAGAGATTCACCTGCCTCTACCTCCTGAGTACTGAGACCAAAGGTGTGCACCACCAGGCCTGGCTCAAAACATTCTTTTTGAATTTTAAAAATAAAAAGGCCTGAGTGCTGAAATCCCTTTGAATGACTTTCGCAGTCAATGGCAAGCTAGTGCCCATGCTGTGCCTTTAAAGATTTACAGTCAGTTTGATTTAGAGAGCTGTTTGAGACTATTAAGTTTCATATATATAATAAAAGCTAAATATTTTCAAATAAAAATACATGTAATAAGGAAATACAACTTATGCAAAATCCCATTAGTGATAGTAGATGTTGATACAGGAATCCCAGGGAATGGAGTCCTCTGAATCCTAACGTTTTGTTAGAGAATGCAGTGAGGAGTCAATATGTAAGGTTCAGTGCTTTTTTTTGGTTTTTCAAGACAGGGTTTCTTTGTGTAGTTTTGGTGCCTGTCCTGTATCTCACTGGACCAGGCTGGCCTCGAACTCACAGAGATCCACCTGGCTCTGCCTCCTGAGTGCTGAGAGTAAAGGCGTGCGCCACCACCACCCAACAGGTTCAGTGCTTTTTAAGAACTCAATTAAGAGCAGCGTGTCTATTAAGCATAAGCTTGGTGAGCTGGGAAGATGGCTCTGTTGGTTAAGTGTTTGCTGTACAGCAAAAGGACCTGAGTTGGAACCCCCAGGATCCATGTAACAGGTGGGAATGGTGTCATGTGGTGTTGATAACCCCAATGTTGGAGTGGCAGGAACAGGAGGATCCCAGAGCTTGCTGAGCTGCTAGTCTAGACACCTCAATAGTTCCAGCTCCCAAGTTCAATAAGAGATCTTGTCTCAAAATATAAGGTCGAGAACAATAGAGAAGATACCTGATGTGAACCTCTGGCTTGTGTATACGTAAGCATATGCTCCTTCACACACAGGAAATAATCTTAGTGTGCTTTGCTTAAATTGATACCATCGAGTCTGGAGTATAGATGGAATCCTGGAAAATAGTCCTTATGCTCTTTAATTTCCCCAAGGACTGTATGCTTAAGACTGAGGAAAGAATGGAAAATCATGTTCCCCACCCATTGTTTAGTAAGGGCAGTAGTTTGTCAGAACCCTTCCATGGATTTTTATATTTTAGCTTTACCAGTATTTAGGAAGAATTTAACTTCGGTATAAAAATACTGTTCTAAAACATTTTACTCTAAACTCAAGTTGGAAGGAGACACACGTTTTCTTACATTCTAATATGTTTGTCATATTTAACTGTTATATTTGCTATAGGTTTTATTTGTAGATGTATCCAACCTTCTTATTAAATAATAAACACAGAACCAATGCAAAGAAGAAAGCCAAGAGGTCAGAGCTAAGAGCTAAAACCTTACCCTTCCTCCTGCGGTGGTCCTACCTCTCCGAACCAGAGCTACCCCTGTGTTAAAGTCTTTATATAGAGTTCCTGTCCTGCCTTCTCATTGGTTGTAAACCCAACCACATGACCGCCTCCTCACAGCCTGTCTGTATAGGCCTCCAGGTTTTCCATGATTGGTATTAAGATTAAAGGCATGTGTATCCAATAATGGCTGTATCCCTGAACACACAGAGACTTACCCAGCTCTGCCTACCAAGTGCTGGAATTACAAGCGTACGCTACCACTGCCCTGCTTTCCTATGGCTTGCTAATAGCTCTGACCCCCGGGCAACTTTATTTATTAACATACAAATAATATTTTAATACAAATAAAATATCACCATATTTCCCCTTTTCTATTTTAATAAAAAGGAAAAAAAGAAAAAGCTTATAACTAATATAAGAAAAACTATATACAAAAGTACAATAACTATATACAATATATACAAGTAATAAATACCTAAACAATGTCTAGTCCATTTGTATTTGACAAATTCAGAGAAAATAATTTCATTATCTATCCTATTTTGGTAAGTCCAAAATGTATCCTAATTAATCTTCAACTATAACTAACTAAACTTCAACTATAACTAACTAATCTTCAACTCCCTCAGAGACCCAAGAAGGAAATAATATTAGCTAACAAAAATAAAAACAGGAAGTGCACATAAGCAACTTCCAAAAAATTTGTGAGTTGACAGAAACAGACAGCTGTCTGGACAGTCACCTGAGGTTTCTCCGAAGTGCTGGGGCATCATCTTCAGCCTATAGGCTTAGCATATCTGACAGACTCATTTGTGAAGTAGGATGTACACAAGGTCAACAGTTCAACCTCACATTGAGTGAGAGTAGTCCATGTACCAGAAACACCTGAATTCCACTAGTGTCATGTCATGATTCAGGATTTTAAATTCTGGAAATTGTTGATGGTTTTTTAATTCAGCTGTCCATTCTTCTTGGCTGTGTATATATGGCTTCATCTCAGCATCCCATTCTTCTCCATATCCCTCCATCAAATGCCAGTCTACTATTGAGAGGCGTGAGCTTAGTTACTCTTCAAGAATAACTGTTTCAGCTGCTGTTCCATTGCACATCAGAGGCCATCGGCCCACTGCCTGTTCAGCTGCCTTCGAAGAAAAGGGCACTGTACCTTTTTCGAATTGCGAAGGCCACTTCAGGGATGGTGCCATATTGTCCTGGCCTCTGAAGATGCCTTTTGATAAAGCCATAACCACACTTGTTTTGGCAAGAATCAGTAATCCTTTGTTTTATGTCCTGTCTGTCCATTTTGTCCTGTTGATTCGAGGATACTTTGTTGTCCAGTGACTAACTTTTGCCACAATGAAAGTTAACTCCATATGCAGTTTCTTCAATGCCCATATTTTCTCTGAAGTAGATTGGTACTGCCAGGAGCCGACATGTCTCGTAGTCATAACAAAAAAGAAAAATTTTCTAAGTTATTAAAACATTTTAAATGCCATATTCTGTAGATCTCTGAAGGGTTTGAAGATAACCTGTCTATCTAAAATATATCTACTCAATCTTGAAAACATACCTAATATAACTACAAGTTCTATTATAATATCTAACTACTAACTTTCATTTCTTTATATCCTAATAGTTGGTAATAACATTCAAGGATCAGAAAATTGCATTACATTGTTAGATGAACGGTACAATTAGAAAAATATATATAACATTTTCTAACATTTATTTGTTGAGTTTTTGGTGCTAGAAATCTGAATGCTAATTTGTTAGTGGATTAACTTCTCAGTTTTATTGTAGATGAACTTTTTGGGGTGTCTTGGGAACCTAACTGGTATTTCTTGTTGAGTATTTGGAATACCATCCATAGTGGTTTAGGTGAGAACATGAGATGATGGTGCTGATATAACTGTGGGCGCTTTCCCCTTCATCCTTACGTACACTTTTGTCTCTGTGAGGGGCTCAGATCCCCTGGAACTGAAGATACAGGCAGTTGTGAGCTGCCATGTGGGTACTGGGAATTGAACCCGGGTCCTCTGGAAGAGCAGCCAGTGCTCTTAACTGCTGTGCCAGCTCTCCAGCCTGAGTTTTGCGCTCCCCCCCCCCCCACTTGAGACAGAGTTTCTCTGTGTAGCCCTGGCCATTCTGGAACTTGCTCTGTAGACCAGGCTGGCCTCGAGCTCAGAGATCCACCTGCCTCTGCCTTCCCAGTGCTAGGATTAAAGGTGTGTGCCATTACCGACTGACCATCCTTCACAGATTTAGAAGTAAATTTAAATATGAGATGACATCTCACTGGGAGAAAATAGTTTGGATTTTGTATACTATAGCTGAACAAAAAGTGGTACCTCAAGGAGTGTCTTTATTTTTTCCAGGTACTCCATGTTTCCCTATCCTCTGAAGAGTTTGGGTCGAGACTGGACCTCACCGTGGGAGGATCTGCAGAGGTATTGCTGGAACAGACACATTTCCAGTTGTCTGAGGTGGCCTGGACATTACTCACGTTCGCCATACCCATACTTCAGTAGCAGGCATTTCTCACTGAACTGTAGACCACCTCTTCTGTTTGAATCTGGAACTCAGTTTCAGTACTGTAATTGGAGACCTGACCATCTAAACAACACATCCTTGATCCGGCTCTCCAGTTACATCATGAACTCTGACAAAGATGAGCCCTCATCCAAACGAAGAAAACACCATGGTAAAGGAAATGTTTATCTTGGTAAAGGGACAGATGTAATCATAGACTCAGTTGAAACAATCGTATCTAACCTTGAAGCTGTCCTCCATATTCTAGAAATGTTAGTGTTTATTTTTAGCCAGTAGTTATTCTGGGTTAGGAATGGTGTCTTTATTTTCAACTAACTATGTCTCTCTCTATAATTGTAGAAAAGGACTATAAGACTATATAAGTAGACTATATAAGTAGGTTTATATAGTTTATGTAAGTACTTAAGTAGACTATATAAGAATATAAAATAGATAATTACTGATTGAATAACAATAGAAAACAGAAGGAGTGAAAAACACAAATTTTAACAACCGCTTTTGTGTCCAGCAGTTTTTGAAAAGATCCTTTGGTGACTTGGAGATGAGATTGGCAGTAGAAATCACTGGTCTAAAAAAATTTAATTTTGTGTTTTCATTTTAATAGTAACTTTAAATATATAATGTAAAAGAATTATTTTATTAGAAATAATCATAAATAAAATGTTACAGGATAAGATTTTAGCTTGGTAAATCTGTATTTCCCAAATTAGAGTCTATAAATAGCTTACAAATATGTTTTTCTTCTTTTTTTCAATGCTAGGGATTGAACCCAGCATCTTATACTTGTTCTGCGCTGAGCCATGTGCCCAGTCCTAGAGAGACTCAAGAGAGAGAGAGTCAGAATTATTACCTTTTAGAAAGGGAGCCATAGCTTAGTCAACTTTGTGGAACTCTTAAAAAAGTGTATTGACTCGGTCTACTTTTCTCGTGCTGTTTTTACTTCTAGACAACTCATGTACTCCCACCCCACTGTAATCCCAGTGCATACTGAGGTATGTAAGAGCTCGGGATTGCCTTTCTTACTGACCTTTAGAGGAGGCTGCGTGGGAGCTGGTGTGTAGGGAGCTGACAGAGGTGGGAGATCTGACAGTGAGCTCCTGAGCTTTTAGGGTTCAGGCTCCTTGTTGTTACCAGAAAGTTCTCTGGAGGACTCACTGGGGTCCCAAGGCAGAACTGATTAGTTGCTACAGTTATAAAGAGCTAGTTCAAATAAACAAACACATGTAAGTAGACACTAAGTCCTTGGCAGTGGAAATCTGTGTAATATGTAATTACAGCATATGGAGGTAAGTAGTCCTATGAGACACTGAAACCAGGGTCCTCGGAAGGACCCAGTTATTTTTTATGTATGTGTTGCTGTTCATTAGGCCAATTCATACTCCTTTCTTGCAACCTTTTGGTAATTCTGTGTACTCTCAGATTGAATTTTGACATGCACCATAAGCATGATAAAGTTTAAGAAGCATTCCATACCCTCATGTATGCTCTGCCACTGTGGCATGAGCTTGGAAAGGTCACCTAACCTCTGCTCCTTGGTTTTCTAGTGTAATAAATAACATCTATTTTGAATGTCTGTTAAAGACAAAATGAGGTATGTCTACATGCCTAACATACTATGAGTTTCATAGAGACTGCTCCGAAAATTGGATGGGGAATTACATTTATATACTGATAATCTCTGATTGCTACCTGACTTTTTATCTGTCCATTCTTCCTAGGTGTTGAGAATAAGGAAAAGGCTCTTCGTTAAGCCATATGTGTGACTTCCGATATTTCACTAATACATTTCAATCAAGAGAACAGCATTACTAATTTGCCTATCACTTTAAAGTATTTGAAGGATTTGTGTGACACAATTATGACTCTTTAATTAGGCACCCCAATACCTGCTCATGCCTATTGCTTCCTTTCTTTGATTCATCTCTCTTCTCTGCTGTGATCACCTTGTTCCTCCTGACATGGAAGGTATATAAGCTTTTGCAGTGTGAATTTGTTGTAAAGTATGTGACAGCCAGAGACTATTCCTTGTGTCAGTGGTTTGAGGCAGTCCTCCATGGCACCTAGCGTTTGCACACACTTGTGCCTGTTTAGTAAAAACAAATGTGGTTAGGATGGACGGTTTCCCTCAGCAGAGATTTGGTGTTCTTGGGACAGGAAGAGCAATGCCAGAGGGCTCCACAAGCTGTAGGAGTTCGGAACCACCATATTAATCAGGTATCCACTGGTCCAGGTTATTAAGAAGTACCCTTACAAAGTCATTACCAGGACCATAATAATCTCGATGTGTTTTCATGTACACTCTATGTACATATTTTATAAGGAACAGCGATTGAATGTTCTAGACTTGCATTTTTCCTATTTCATCACAGTAGTGACAGAGGATCGTGCTGTAGTGGGGGTGAAAGCGTGCATGTCGCATGATGGAGCTTCCATCTTATGAAGACTTCAGTCTGTGCTAAACCATCATGGGACACACCCAGATTGTGGGGTCCTGTAACTGTCAGTGTATCTCTGTGGAGCTAGTACCATTAGTCTTAATTTTAAGCCTTTGGGGTGGGATTCTCCATGTTCAGTGCAGGATAGGGAAGGGCCAACTTTTTTCCCTTACATGGGCCTGAGGCTGCTTTGGGCAGAATTCTGTATTGTCGAAAAGATTTCTCTCTCTTTTGATTTTGTTTCTTCCACCTTTTTCTGGAGCCCTTCCCTTAGCATCTTCATACCATCAGCTCCCTCACCCCATCCAGCCCTCACTAATCACACACTTATCCTCTGTCTGTCAAATGTCTGCTCCTCTATGCAGCAGGCAGAGACTTAGATACTGAGGAGAGCACCCTGCTGTAATGAACTTCCCACAATGTACTTTATTGGCAGCTGATGTAGCATATGGATATTCTGATTTGAAAACCTTGTCATTGTAGAAGACTATTTTAAAACAGTATTTCCTTTTCACTCTGCATGTAAGTTTATTGTTTCAATCTATTTCCTTTTTAGTTTGGTTTGGTTTGGTTTTGGAGACAGGGACTCACACTGTAGCTCAGGCTGGCCTCAAACTCTTGGCAATTCTCCTGCCTTATCCTCCTGAGTGTTGGGATTACAGGTGTGAGCCTCATGCTCAGGTAACTTCAGTTAGAATCTTAGGCATTGTAATCTAGTGAAATGAAACCTGTATGCAAGATAGAGGAAGAAAGTCTGTGGCTGAAAGCTGTCATTTACTCTCAGGTGCTTGGCCAGCCATCTCCAAATCTGTTCTCTTCTGGTTAAGTTTTCTCCTCATTGTTGAAGTTTGTAGTTAACTAAATGTTCCATCTTTTTTCGTGGCTTCCATGACATTAAGCATATCCTCACTAATGTGACATAATGAGACAAGAAATCAAAGGTGAATTATTCACTTGCTGTTTTTTGGCACTAGGCATTGAACCTACTTGTCAGATAAGTGCTCAACCACTGAGTAATTATCAGCCCTTGGATTTTTGGTGTGTTTGTTTGTTCTAATCTCACTACATGTAGCTCAAGCTGTCCTTGAACATGCCATGTTGGCCAGGCTAACCCTGAACTTTCAATCCTCCTATCTCAGTCTCCTGAGTGCTGGAGCTATAGGTGTGTGCCACCACACCTGGGTGTGAGTGTATGTGTGTATGTGCACACACATGTACCCTCAGAAAGTAATTTCTCAGTTGAGTATCTGTAATTGCAGAATCTCATATTTTTCTATCCACTTTTTGTTGCTTTTTCAGAGAATGCTATGTCTTTGCAGAGTGTGATCTATGGTGCATTCCTGGTGGTTGTATGAAAGGCTCATTAACCAGCCTCTGCTGTTTGTCTAGAGCATTCTGTAACATCATGCTAACTTTTGTCTTGGTGTCCCTGTATTACAGGGCTCATTTTGTCATCTATAATTTGTAACAATTCATTATATTCATTATGTCTGTACTTCCCCACTTACAACATTTTAGACGCTAAACACTGGTCCCACAGATTGTCATTCTATACAACCCTCCATTCATGCATAAACCAGAATTCTGAACTAAGGTAACTGATGATCTTGATAGGGAATAAAATGTTCTGGGAAATCATCTCTGGAAAGCTGGCTTTGGTGAGTCTCATTGCATTAAAGAATGCTAAGCATGACTGATGGAAGTCTTAACCAGAGTCAAATGGGAAAATGCAGCCTCCAGAAAGGTGTGCTAGGATTTCCTGCCTAGGCAGCCCACTTGATGACAGCTTGTCACTAGTCACTGTTATATTGCTATTTCCAAGGGAAAGCATTTTACTCATTAGCTGTGGGAGTTTTTGTTAAGTAAAGAAGTATTTGTGTACAGGAAACTATCTGGTCTCCTTTTGATTGATTCTTTTCTATTTTGTCCAATATATTTTAACAGGAACAATAAAAAGGAATTGGGAGTATTTATGTAGCCATAATAAAGAAAAAATGAAGGATCTAGACGGCAAAAATGTTGACTCCACGTGTGAGGACAATGAAGAAAAGTTTGACTTTTCAGTGATGTCTTACAATATACTCTCACAAGATTTACTAGAGGATAACTCGCACCTCTACAGACATTGCCGACGTCCAGTGTTACACTGGAGTTTTCGGTTTCCCAATATTCTGAAGGAAATCAAACATTTTGACGCAGATGTAAGTATGCAAAGCAGTATCGGAGCTTTTCCTGTAAGGAGAGTGTGGTTGATTGTACATTCCTGGGCCGTGTTTTATTGCATGTTGTTCTCGAGGTGTGGCTTCCTTGTTATTAGTTGCTGATCAATATAATCACCTAGCTTTTCAAAAGAGCTGAAAGTTTTAAGTATTTAAGTATTGGTCAACTTTGAGAATCAGACTGGAAGCATTTTAAGTAAAATTAATGGACTTAAAATTTCAGTAATTTGTGTAAAAATTCATCTACATGGTAAAATGATAGCATTTAAAGAATGCAAATTGCTTTTTTTGTTTAAGACAGAACCTCTGATAACTCACACTGGCCTCAAATTTCCTTGGTAGCATAAGATGACCTTGAACTCTTGATTTTCCTGTCTTTCCCAATCAAGTGCCAAGTGACATGTGTCACCATGCTCAGCTAAAGAGACAGGGTTTTTTTGTTTTGTTTTGTTTTTGGCAGGAGGGATGCTGGAATGAAACCAGCCTCTTATGAAAGGACCCACAGAGCTGGAGAGATGGCTTAGTGGTTAAGAACACTGGCTGGTCTTCTAGAGGACCTGGGTTCAATTCCTAGCACCCACATGGCAACTTACAACCATCTGTATCTCCAGTTCTAGGGGATCTGACATCTTCTGGCCTCTGTGGGCATTACATGAACATCGTGCACAAAAATTCAGGCAAAGCATTCATAGCTAAAATAAAAATAAAATCTCCAACAAAATTCTCTTTTAAAGAAAAGAAAGGACCCGAGCCAGGTATGATGACATATGTCTATAATCTAGCACGTGACTGAGACAGAAGGACCACTCTGAGTTCAAGGTTGCTCTGGGTTATATAGTGACACCAAAAGCTTAGTCATGTTGAACATGGAAATTCAGGAAAAATAACCTCACATATAAAAAAGTTCTTTTAGGAAATAGACCATTTTGAATGATGAAAGTACTATTCCATATGGGTATGGGCTATGGTTTTGAGGTATAAGATGTTTAGAAACATATTTCTTGTGATATAGAATATTTGAGAGAAATAATTTTTTTTTCAAAAAGTAAAAAAAAAAAAAAAAAAAAAAATGGGCATTGTTGGTACACACCTTTTATCCAAAGCACTTGGGAGACAGAGGCAGGCAGATCTGAGTTCAATACTAGCCAAGTCTACAGAGTGAGTTCCAGGACAGCCAGGGATACACAAAGAAACCATGTCTTAGAAAAAAACAAACAAAAAATAAATAAAAGCATTCGTTTATTCTAAAATTAAGAAAAGGTATATATGCCACTTTGATTTCCACACTGTCAGAGTTCAATAAAATTCATACTTGCATCTGTGTGTTTTCATGCAAATCACTGTTTTCTTCCAGGTGCTTTGTCTGCAGGAAGTCCAAGAAGATCACTATGGAGCAGAAATCAGGCCGAGTCTGGAGTCACTGGGTACAATGTAACCTTTATTTGCTTGGCCAGATTTATTCTTGCAGAGTTTTACATTATTAAAACATAATTTTTTAAACAAAAATGCATGACATATTTGGATATAACTTTTATTCATTTATTTATTTTTGTTTGTTTTTCAAGACAGGGTTTCTCTTTGTAACAGCCCTGGCTGTCCTGGAACTAGCTCTGTAGACCAGACTGGCCTCAAACTCACAGAGATCAGCCTGGCTCTGCCTCCCAAGTGCTAGGATTAAAGGTGTGCACCACCACCACCACCACCACCCCTACTCCCCCCACCCCAGGCCAGTGGCACACACCTTTAATCCCAGCACTTGGGAGGCAGAGGCAGGTGGATCTCTATGAGTTCGAGGCCAGCCTGGTCTATAGAACAAGATCCAGGACAGGCACCAAAACTGCACAGAGAAACCCTGTCTCGAAAAACAAAAAACAAAACAAAACAAAAAAAAAGGTGTGTGCCACCACTGACCGGCCTTTTTTTTTTTTAAACTTTTTAAGATTTATTTATGTTTATGTGTGTAAGTTTTGCCTGCATTCATAATGCATTCATAATGTCCATGGGGGTCAGAAAGGGGTGTCAGATGTCCTGGAACTGGAGTTACAGGTGATTATAAGCCACCATGTGGGTGCTGGGAACCAAACCTGGGTCCACTGGAAGAGCAACAAGTGCTCTTAACCACTGAGCCATCTCCCCAGCTCTGGGGATAACTTTTAAATTTCATTTATTTATTATTTTATGTGTGTGAGTGTTTTGTCTACATGTATGTCTGTGTACCATGTGTGAGTCTCAAGCTTTTGGAGACCAGAAAAGAGCGTTGGCTCCTGTGGAATTACAGTTACAAGCAGTTTTGAGCCACCATGTGGGCGCTAAAACTAAACACAGGTCCTCTTCAAGAACAGCCAGTGCTCTTCACTGGTGAGCCATCTCCAGCCCCTTTAGGATAACTCTTAATTTTGAGAGTGTGATATTGAGGCATTTCTGCTAGAAATTTCATGTTGATCTGATCTTAAAAGGGAAATGTTTCCAGGAGTCACTCAGCTGCTGCACTCTGCAGGTCTGTACTACACAAGATCAGGGACCCAGCCTCCAACAGTAGGTTTTACCATGACCTAACAGATACAAGAGAAAGCCTTGTTTGGTGAAGGTGCTTCTAGAGTTTGATTTATAGACAGGAAATATGAAAACTGCCCACGTGGCGTTCATTCGTTTAGCAGGTGTGCCTCTGAGTGCCTGCATATACTTTACACTGCTCTAGAAAGTAAGCCCAGCACCGGTCTCAGCAGCTGGCCTCCTCCCTTGTGGGATGTGTGTAAGTAAGTGAACGGCAAGCAAGGAAAGCAGGAAGATTGGACAGTGTGAAGTCTGAACAAAGATTTCAACGATCTGGAGGAGGTGAAGGTCCAGCTGTACCTACAGCATCCTAACCAGCAGAGCTAGCACAGGAAAGGCTCTGATGTTGACATGGATTTAGGCAATATGGTCCACAGAGAGTGAGATAAGGAAAAGGGGCAAAAAGATCAGAATTACTGCAAGGCCTTAGTGTCCTGGTTGTGATTGAGTGAGAGGGTGAAGTCTTCCAGTAAAGAAACCTACCATGCATATTGGCTTTGAGACGAGGTCTTGCTGTATGACCCAGGTTGGTTCAGACTTGTAATTCACCTGTCTCCTTCCAAATGCTTGCATTACAAGCGGGGGAGACTGCTCCCTACTTGAAGTTAGACATAAGGTGTGTGGTGTGGTGGCCTCATTGTAATCTCCGAAGTTCAAGGCCACTCTGAGCTATAGTAAGTTCAAGGATAGCTTGAGATCCATAGTGAGTCCCTGTCTTAGAAGACCCTTGGGCTGGGAATGTGGATCTATGGTAGAGTGTTCGCCTCGTATGTGTGAGACCCTGGGTTTGATCCCCAACACCTCTACCACCACCAAAAGAGAGAAAAAGGAAAAAAAATTAAGATATTACAGAATTTATCTTCTTAAGTGCTGAAGTTAAAACACTCTTAGGTTAGCTGGGCCCATAGTCTCCCCTGACATCCCCAGCTCTAGCCCTAAACTTTGGTTTTAACACGTACTAGCATCCCGTGTGCTGTGGGATGTTCTGTATGGCAAATGTGTTGCTGATTAGTCAATAAATAAAACACTGATTGGCCATTGGCTAGGCAGGAAGTGTAGGCGGGACAAGGAGGAGAATAAAGCTGGGAAGTGGAAGGCTGAGTCAGAGACACTGCCAGCCGCCACAATGAGAAACAGCATGTGAAGATGCCGGTAAGCCACGAGCCATGTGGCAAGGTATAGATTAATGGAAATGGATTAATTTAAGCTGTAAGAACAGTTAGCAAGAAGCCTGCCACGGCCATACAGTTTGAAACCAATATAAGTCTCTGTGTTTACTTGGTCGGGTCTGAGCGGCTGTGGGACTGGCAGGTGAGAGAGATTTGTCCTGACTGTGGGCCAGGCAGGAAAACTCTAGCTCCACCCGTGTTTTGACATGCAATCTCTTTTCTAAATTGATTCCTTCTAGGCTATCACTGTGAATATAAGATGAAGACAGGAAGGAAACCTGATGGCTGTGCCATTTGCTTCAAACATTCCAAGTTTTCACTCCTGTCAGTGAACCCAGTAGAGTTCTGCCGCCGTGATATTCCTCTGTTGGACAGAGACAACATTGGATTAGTTTTACTCTTGCAACCCAAAATCCCACGTGCCGCCTCTCCCTCCCTCTGTGTAGCTAACACACATCTGCTATACAATCCACGGCGAGGTGATATAAAGCTGACCCAGCTGGCAATGCTTCTAGCAGAGATTTCCAGTGTGGCCCATCGGAAAGACGGTAGCTTCTGTCCCATCGTCATGTGTGGTGACTTTAATTCTGTTCCTGGTTCTCCACTCTATAGTTTCATAAAGGAAGGAAAATTGAACTATGAAGGACTTGCAATTGGAAAGGCAAGTGCTAACTTCATCTGGTAGAAAGTGGGTTTCAGCTGCTCTGCCAGAATGAGGGGAATGGTCCTTGTTGGAGTGAGGATGGTTATTGCATGGCTGTGTGGAATCTAATACCTCACTCTGCTAAGATGGCATGATTTCCTACAGTTACCAACATGTGGCTTTGTTCACTTGGTTTGATTTTGTCTTTTCCACTTATGGACGCATTCTGTTTGAAGGAATTAGCTGGTAGAAAGAAAAGTGTTGAGAGACAAGGATAACTTGAAAGCCCCCTTTTATGGGGGGTAGGAGGAGTTCTGAATGCCGGACATGGTCAATATAGTCACTTAATATTCATTGTGTAAGCTTTCCTTTATATAACAATGGCTTTTCTTGTGTAATGCTGAAATACTTTATTATTCTTCAGTGTAGAATTATTTTTATTGGGCTTTGAATGATATTCCCATGCTTCCCTCTGCTTGTTTTAGACCATTTGATTTTCAGTGTTTAACCAAAATAAGTCTTCCACCAACAGAATTTTCAATGATAGTTTTACATTTGACACAATAGAAACTATTATAGGTGGCAGAAAGAGTAAGACAGTATTAGTGGGAAGCTGTAGATATTTAGATGTTCAAATGAGGGAAACAAGCGCGTGAAAAGCCTATCATTTCCATGTAAATGACAGTGCTGTCTGAACTGTATTTGGATGGAAGTTTGTAATCACAAGCAGTCATTTATATAAAAATGAAGGGCTTGCTTACCATTTGTGATTACTTTTATTAAGATATAAAATTTTCAATACATAAATTAGTTAAAGTCTATTCACTTAAGATGCCTGTTGAAATTCTGTGCAGGTATCTGGCCAGGAACAGTCTTCACGGGGACAGAGAATTTTATCTATTCCAATTTGGCCCCCAAACCTAGGCATCTCACAGAACTGTGTATATGAGGCACAACAGGTTCCCAGAGTAGAAAAGACAGGTGAGTGTTTATAGTACATTTTGGCAGTCTTCTGGGTAATGGTCTTCTCTTTGAAGACATAATGCTAAAATTTCAAAGTTTCAGTATCTGGGCATGAATGCTCATGTATATTAATATAAATAGCTATTTTCTCATCCTTCTTTTAATGTACTCCAAATTTCCTTTTTAAGAGTTAAATTCCAACATTATTTGTTCATGAATAACTTGTTGCCTTAGAGTTGTTTGCATTTTCTCCCCCTCACCCCTCGATTCTGTAGAACATCAAAATATAGACCACAGGATCAAACATTTAACCAGACATTGAAACTAGACCTATCCTGAATCTGGCTCTAGAGATAGCTATGCTATGGCAAACTAGAACAAAACAGTATGCACATTGGATTGATATGCTTCCCTCTGCTCTTTCAGATAGCGATCTGACACAAGCTCAGCTGGAGAAGACAGAGGTCCTAGTGTCAGCTGAAAAGTGAGTTCTGGAAGGGCAACAGTAGACAGTCCCTGACTAACTGAGTCATGCCAAAAAAAAATTTAACTTGAAAACACTTGGATCCAAAATGAAGTTGATATTATTCCAAGCTATATAGGCCACTGGGTTTAAGACAAATATGCATGAATTCCAGGTCCGACTGCTGGGTTGTGAGGATTCAGGAAGCCAAAGCTTGGAAGACAGTGTTTCATGCTTGGAGTGTTTAGGCAGTGTCTGGAAACAGCATGTGGGCCTGAACTGGCCCAGGAACTCTGAAATTTCCAGATCACAGGAAAGTATCTTCCTGATTTCAGTAGGATCCTTAGTCTTCCTTGACTCACTAACTAGATCTCACTTCTTTGCCAGCTGAGGTCCAAGGGGTCCTGAATAGCCCTGTACACTATTGACCACTTAGAGCATCCTTAAAAACACAACCAAAAGTGTAAGCTGTCTTAGGATTGTATGCTTGTTGTTTGAATGGAGGTTCTCAAACATGTATAATTCTGAGGTCTAATTAGCATATTGGTTCCCATTTGTTGTCATTTGCTAGGTGTTAGTAGCCATTCACTTACATCCACTGCATCAGGAAAGGAGACCTGACTTGGGGATGGTCATCATAACACTCGGGAAGTTGAGGCACAAGTGAAAGCCTCATGAAATGGAGGCCAGCCTGGGCTATATAGTAAGATCAAGGCTAGCCTGAGCTACATAATGAAACCTCAAGTACAAAAATGCCAGGCATGATGGCTTACACATATTATACCAGTACTCAAGTAACTGAGACAGAAGGAGTGCCACAAATTTGAGGCCAGCCTAAGCGTTAAAGTAAGTTCCACTCAAGCCTGGGCTATAATGTAAGACCTTGTCTGTAAAACAAAATCAAAAGACTATAAACAATAATAAGTTTAATAATAAAAGTATCCTGGGCTTAGTCTAGCAATGGAGGAAAAGTAATTTAGATGAGATGTTTTGTACTATGAATATTTTGGTGAATACTGCCCTTCTCTCTCCGCTTTAGGGTGCCTTCACATCTCCGGCACCACTTCAGCTTGTCATCTGTTTATTCTCATTACCTTCCTGACACTGGACTTCCAGAGGTGACCACCTGCCATTCCCAAAGCGCCATAACTGTTGATTATATCTTCTACTCTGCAGAAAAGGAGGACGCTGCCAGGGGTCCAGGTGAGGAGGCTGGGGACCACAGCTGCTAGAATGCAGGCAGCAGAGAGAACCGTAGTCCTCAGCACGAAGGGGAAGGGCTCCATGTAGACAGGAGATGGGGAAACCACGAGTGCAACTGCACAGGGCTTCACTGTCTGCAAAGAGCAAGGCAGTAACAGCCCAAAGCATTCTTACAGAGCTGCATCCTCAGTTGTCCCTTCAGTGTTCTAAGTCCTAGCCATCCACTCTCACCATAAATCCTGCCTCTAGCTGGAGATTTCTCCAGTCCCGCCAGGGCCCACCACCACTCAGACCCAAGTAAACACACAGAGACTTATATTACTTATAAACTGTGTGGCCATGGCAGGCTTCTTGTTATCTAGTTCTTATATCTTAAATTAACCCATTTAATTCATCTATAAGTTGCCACATGGCTTGTGGCTTACCAGTACTTAACATCTTTTCATGGCGGCGGCTGGCAGTGTCTCCTGACTCAGCCTTCCACTTCCCAGAATTCTCCTCTCTGCTTGTCCCACCTATACGATACTTCTTCCTGCCTGGTTACTGGCCAATCAGCATTTTATTCATCAGTTAATCAGAGCAACACATTCATAGCATACAGAAAGACATCCCCAGCACCTGCCTTCCTGTGGCAGCCACTGAGTAAATGGCAAAGTCACCAGCTCTGGCATTCATTAGGTTAAAAGACATGCTACCTTCACAGCAAGGCCAGGCTAGGCTGCCCACAACAGACACTTGGTCATGCTGACCTGAGGGAGAAAGCTTGTGACTATTTTCAGAAATGGAAACGGGCAGTACATTTCTGTTACAGCTCAACAAGAAATCAGGTTGAATAAGCCAACTGAAGGATTTAAAACAGGAAACATTGAGATATTGGAAATCTAAAAACACTCAGAAAATATCTGGAGTCCTAGACACGGCAGACTCCCCACATCCTTTTCTGATGCTACTTGTCTCTCAATTTGTTCCATCTGGGCATACCTTCTCAGTGACCTAATTCCTCTAACTAAACCACCTACCCAGTGTGCCCTGGTCTTGCTTCACACAGTAAGGTCTGGAAGTTGCCATACCTACAGAGTTCACTAGGTGGCAGGAGAGTGTCTGATCAGGGATCAGCAGCTCCAGTCTCTCAAGAGGAAAGAGCATGTTACTTTTCACTTGAGTGGAGAATGACTGGGCTCAAATCACATCACCTTACCCTGTAGTCACCTTGGCAGCCCCTGCCAAGCTTGGCTCTATGCAGTTAGAGTGGTTTGGTGGATCATTCTTAAGTGGTTGTCAATGTCAAATTCCTAACCTTTTGTTTTGTTTTGTTTTTTGAGACAAGATTTCTCTGTGTAGCCCTGCCTGTCCTATAACTCACTCTGTAGGCCAGGCTGGCCTCAAACTCCTGCCTGCCTCTGCCTTCTGAGTGCTGGGACTAAAGGTGTGCAGCACCACCACCCAGTGCAGATTCTTTTTTTTTTTTTTTTTTTGAGATTTATTTATTATGTATACAATGTTCTGCATGCATGCATTCCCTGCAGGCCAGAAGAGGGTACCAGATCTCATTACAGAAGGTTGGGAGCCACCATGTGGTTGCTGGGAATTGAACTCAGAACCTATGGAAGAGCAGCCAGTGAGTGCTCTTAACCTCTGAGCCATCTCTCCACCCACCACCTCCCCTTGCAAATTCTTAACCATTTTTTGTTTGTTTTCGATACAGGGTTTCTCTGTGTAGCTTTGGAGCCTGTCCTAGAACTAGCTCTGTAGACCAGGCTTGCCTGGAACTCACAGAGATCTGCCTGCCTCTAACATTTTTTTATTACATTAATCTTTCAAAGGTGTAAATTTTATAAATTGAAATAGAAAAATTACCTGGCATAAATAATGTGACTCTACAGTTTAACGATTGTTAGTTATAACTTCATAAAACTTTATACTATAAAAACTTCCATATTAGTTTTCTAGTGGGTTGCAGGTTCTGTTTCACTGTTTAAGGAACAAACCTGTCTGCTTAACGACAGTCTCACTAAAATGTGCTTCCTCAACCAGGAGCTGAAGTGGCTTTGGTTGGTGGCTTGAAACTTCTGGCTAGACTGTCGCTTCTTACAGAACAAGACCTGTGGACTGTGAATGGACTTCCCAATGAACACAACTCTTCAGACCACCTGCCTCTACTGGCTAAGTTCAGGCTCGAACTCTGACTCCGTTGCTCGGTCACACAATTTCCTGTCTTCTCAGAGGCTGTAAAGATAGTCGTAACTGTTTGCATGCTGTTCATTTCTGTGCTTGGGGTTCTGAGTTTGCTCTATGCTTGAAACAGGTTGGAAGAAACAAGTTTACAACAGTTTTTTAAAATGAAAATATTTTCCTGACAACTGATGTCTAACCACTTTATTGTAAAAAGACATAAATAACTTCTGAGTCCTGGTAAAGTGAACAGCATTTTGAAGTGTAGTTCATCTCCTTGGCTCTCCAGACATGAATTCAGTGCTTTTCAGTCCATCCAGTGGACCTACCAGGACTTGCAAAGCTCAGGTTGTTGCCTTTTCTGGAGGCCTAATTTCAGTGGGAGAAGCCTGTGCTTGTTGAGAGCTAATCAGTTCTTAGAAATCACGGGGTCATTCATTCACAGGTGTCCAGCCACATTAGCTTCTAAAGAGGCTTGATGATGCTCTTGAGTTGTACTAATATAGAGACCCACTTCACTGCCATCCTGAGCTGTGGGATATGCCTATACTTTGTTGAGGAAATAGTTGAGAAATGCAGGTCACTCACATAAGAGGGCAAAGCTCTTAGCCAGATAATGGTGGTACATATTTGTAACCTTAGCATTTGGGAGGTGAAGGCAGGATTAGCCATTTAAAGCCAGCTCTAGTAACATAGCAAGTTTGAGGCCAGCCTGAGCTACATGAAACCCTATCTGTAAAACACAACAAAACCTGGGCGGTGGTGGTCCACACTTTTAATCCCAGCACTTGGCAGGCAAATCTCTGAGTTCATGGCCAGTTTGGTCTACAGAGTGAGTTCCAGGACAGCCAGGACTATTACACAGCGAAACCCTGTCTCAAAAACTGAAAAATGGTCAAAGTCCTTTATATAAGCCCACCCCTGTTCTGTAGAGGGGTTGCCCCCAGGAAAGCAGATGAGCCAGGTGCAGCCATGCACATCTTTCATGCCAGCATCTAGGAGACAGGCAGGAGAATCACTGCATGTTCCAGGCTAGTCAGGGCTACACAGCAAGACCCTGTCTCAAAGACAGACAAAGCGGTGGCAGACCCTGGCTAGTACCTCTGTCCCCCTGTCTTCCTTTCTGTTTAGTGACAGTAGAAGGCCCTTGGGTCAGGAGTGACATTTTGTTGAACCAGTTTTGTATAAATTTTAAAAAAACAGTCTTTGGAAGGAAGTGGCAGCTCTACAGCTATTTGTCATTCACCTCCAACATGCAGAAGCCAGAGCATAGGGAGGCACAGTTTAGACCTGGGAGCCCCCCAACTCCACACTCTTGGAAGCCGATGAACTGTTGGCTGCAGGGTCATGCTTTCTGGTACAGTGGTGCAGCAGTGTGACATGGCGCTCACACTGTCAGTGACGCTCACAGCAGGTCTGATAAGCCCTGTACACATGTCAGTGACGCTCACAGCAGGTCTGATAAGCCCTGTACACAATGTCGAGTGAAAGACTTTCATAGAAGTAGAAATTCCCTCCGCTTTCTAAAGTAGTAGAATCAGACTGCCGGCATTTTTACTAAGTCCTTGCTGTGCAGTAAGTTACATATGTTTTCTACAGTGAGTTTTATTAATAAAATGCTTTAAATTAAGACAATAAGTCTTGGCAATTTAAATTTTTAACTCATTACAGTTATTTTAGGTGTACTAGATGACTGCCTCAGAGGTGTACAGATTGTGAAGATATGGCCAGTGAGATTTGCAGTAAACAAAGGGTCTCAACTTTGGTTTTCATGGACAGTATTAACCATGGTGCCATGATGCCCACAGTTTTCAGTGCTTTGTGGAGTGCTAAGGATCCTGGTTAGTCTTTATCAAATTAGTAATTGTTCCTTTTTAATATTGGGGGGTGTTGAGTGGTGTTGGTATAAACATCACTGTTGGCAAACTAACATTCCTGAAAACCTCTGTAAAAAGTTTTTATATCCTAATGAATATGAGTTTAGCCCCATTTCATACACTTCTCTTTGATAGTTAACCCATAAATTACTGTTCAATGTTAACCTGTGGCCACAGACACTTTTCACAAGCTTTTAGAGCTCCAATAAAGATGATCTATTTTCTTTACTGTTCTTGACAGAAGATCTGGCAGCTCCTCTGGGCCTTGTGTTTATCTGCCAAGCACAATCTGATCTGGCTGACTGCAGAAATCAGATCTCACGGTTTATAAAGTGTATGTGTATGTGTGTGTGTGTGTGCATGTGTGCGCAATCTGATCTGGCTGACTGCAGAAGTCAGATCTCACAGTTTATAGTGTACTCTGTGTGTGTGTGTGTGTGTGTGTGTGTGTGTGTGCAATCTGATCTGGCTGACTGCACAAGTCAGATCTCACAGTTTATAATGTGTGTACTATCCGTGTGCTTGTGTGTTTGTGTGTGTGTGTACAATCTGATCTGGCTGACTGCAGAAGTCAGGTCTCACAGACTGAAGTGTGTACTATCTGTGTGTGTGTGTGTGCGCGTGCACAATCTTATCTGGCTGACTGCAGAAGTCAGATCTCACAGTTTATAATGTGTGTACTATCCGTGTGCTTGTGTGTTTGTGTGTGTGTGTACAATCTGATCTGGCTGACTGCAGAAGTCAGGTCTCACAGACTGAAGTGTGTACTATCTGTGTGTGTGTGTGCGTGTGCGTGTGTGTTTGTACAAGCTGATCTGACTGCAGAAGTCAGATCTCAGTCCAAAGTGTGTACTATCTGTGTGTGTGTGTACGTGTGCGTGTGCGTGTGTGTGTCTAGACATGTGTGTCTAGAGGCCAGAGGTGAGCCTTGGGTATTGTTCCTCAGGAGCCATCTACCTTTTATTTTAAGATAGTCTCTCACTGGCCTGCAACATGCCAAAGTAGGGTAAAATGGCTAGCCAGCAAGGCTGAGACCCTCCTGTCTCTGCCTTCCTCGTGTGGGATTACATGGGATACCTGGCTTCCCTTGTGGGTCCTGAGGCTCACACTCAGGTCCTCCTCTAACTGAGCCGTCTTCCCAGCCTCCTGCTAGCCAAGTCTTATATGCAAAGGGAAACTGTAAAGTGATGATAGTCTAGTTTTTAGTGCACCTTTTGCCATCAAGACAGTAAGCATGTTCAAAATCTTGTCTTTCGGGATTTAGTATCTGCTAGCTTTTAAGCTTTTGTTTAAAAAAAAAAATGGAGTTATTTTACTTTGTCCCTGTAAGCTGTAATAAAGTATTATATTTGCACATCTATGTTGGGTTTTGTGTAAACATGCTGAGCAGCTGGTGCTGGCCTGCTACCCTCAACTGTCCATCACCTTCTTAGCCTTTATCAGTTAGAATGATTGAAATACACCCAAACAGTATAGTCAACAAAGCCTGAAAGAGGAAAGTGAGAAAATGGTAAATTAATTCAATAGGACGAAACATCTCAAAGTCCTTCAGTTTCCAGAATGGTTTTTATTACAGTTCCATGCTGTGTCCAACATACGATGAGAGAAATGCAAGCCTGAATGAAACATGCACTCCTGGCGTTCTTAGAATACGATCAAATCTTCGTGGACTTAGAAAAATACTCACTAAAACAATCACGGTTCTTCTGAAATATTTTTTAAAAATGTATTGGCCAGAACAAAGAATAAACAAGAGTCTGAATTGTATGTCAAAAACTGTACAAGGTTGTACATAAAAGTCTAGCATAGGAAAGGAAACCTTGTGTAGTAAGCTGAGGGGTTGCAGAGGCCTTTACTCATGTCTGCTGAGGATGCCCTGAAATAGCTGACTCAGAAACAGGAATATACTCATGATTCTAGGGTACAGAAAACACTTGGGATCACCTTTCAGAATCAACAGTCAGCTTGAGGCTTGTAATTCAGCTCAGCACATCTTGCCCCTGTGCAGAGGATAAACTTGCTCCAGTCACCTCATACTTCTCTTTATCTTCTTAAATCACAGCTAGGCTGAGGAGAGGTAAAACACACTGGGTTCGTTTTTGCCATATTATTATTTAATTAAACTGTTGCATTAGAATTTAGGCGTTTGTGACTTCCTTCTATTTTTAGAAGTTAGTGTAACTACAGACAGTAAAACTGAATGACAGCATTTTAAATGTTTCTGTGACTAACCTTGCTTTGGAAAATGAATCTAAAAATCAGAAAGTGGTTGTGGGAGAAGATTAGGTGACCAAGTGTCACACTCGGGACAGCTGGGTGCTGTTCTTTGCCTTGCCATGGGTCAAGGTTGTCCCACTGGCTGTTTGACATTCTTTTCATGTGAGCTGTCCTTGAACAAGGCAGCTGCAGGCACTCGGCCGGGTCGTCGAATTCTGATCAGTCCACGTACCAGATGGAGCAGTTTCAGGGGAGAAACAGCTAAGCAAGAGTGAAAGTACAACAGCGGGTGAGGGCCTGTGACAGCGGGTGAGGGCACGTGGAGGAAAGCTGCTTCCTTGGGTCCTGAGGTCAGAGCAGAGCCTGTGAACACTCGCCCAGGCCCAGTAACTCATCTTGAACTCTGATAACAGGATTCTTGAAGAAAGCAATTACGTTCAGAATTTGAAGCTTACACTGTGTTTTAATTTCCTGGTCCTGTTCTCTAAAGGACACTAAACTTTTCCAAGAAAACAATACTTTTCATTAATAATGCTGGCTTTAGGGTGGAATGAATTTTTGTGGCCACGGCTTTTGCCTCTCGTGGCCCTAGGTTTTCCTGGTGAAGACTCAGTGAGTGGTCAGTTAACGGTGTCTCATAAACTGTCAGTCACAGCCAGAGGGACACATGCTGAGAGCTGTGTGGACCAGCTGGTCCTCTGGCATAGGGGCAGCACTAAGATAAATGACTTAAAGCTGTACTCCAGATTTATAGCAGTCTTGCATGCTTTCAGCTCCAACTTCGTGGTCTGCAAGCAGAAGTTGCACTGCAGTGCAGTTCCCACTGAGGCACAGCACTGTGCTGGACCTTTTCCTTTGAGACAGGCCTTCCTAATGTCACGAAGTGGTGCCTAAAAAACAGGCTAGTGGGAAATAGTTCATCATCACATTTGCCTTAATGTAAGATTGCCTTAATGTAAGACAGCAGAACACATTAACAACAAACCCCTCAGAACCAAGGCTGACCAAGTGTGAATGAAAGATTAGCCGCCAGTGTCTGCCTTTTTGAGCACCTTTCTGCCTGAGGACATTTTCGTGAGTGCATGGCCTCTTGTGCTTTTCACTGGATTCAGAAAAGCTTAAATGTTAGCAACAGAACATGGACTAGAGCTCTTGGCATGCTTGTTTGAAAGAGGAAAACCTGCCGTCAGCAGATGCGTTAGGAAAAGTGACTCCAAGATCCTAAAGTGTTGTCCCTTAGTGCCAGAATTTCAGTGCTTTTTGCTAAAGCATTTGCATATGACACCTTAAATCGAATCTGATGTGTGCACCAGAAAAAAACCAACAAACCCTCCAAACCATCAAGATCCCTATAAGAAACACTAAGAAAACAATACAAATAGAATATAAAAACTCATTAAGATTGCATATCTGATGCCAAAATGTTGAGGTAATATCAACTGCCTAAAAAAACCCACCATCTTTGCTTGTTATTGCTGAGAAGACGGTAACACTGACTGAGTTACAAAGAGTGGGAGAGAACTCCAGACGTTTACTACAGCTGAGGCATAATGTCCAAAGCAAGTGGAACAGTCGCACATGGAAAAATAGAAAACTGCAGTGTTGTCCTTGAGGTCCTGAGTGAGGGAGACAGTCAACCCACGGGCCTGTCCGTCACATCAGCCCAGTCATGCCCGCTGCCCAGAGAGTTTCAAAGCTCACCATTTCCACGCACTCAGATTCTGTTTCCAGGGAAGTCCTTCAAAATCAAAACTCCCCAAGTTCTTCGTGAATACTTGCAGGGCCTCCTGAAGCTGCTGGGTTATGTGCAGAAAAGAGCACCATAGAAACCTTGCCAGCCTGGCTTGGCTAGATCCGGATTTGATAGCCCACTTCATTCAGAGTGCTGAGGTCAGCCACCTTCTTCTCAGGGAGAGCAGGCCTAAGGGGGAAGGCAGAAGGATGGTGGGGAGGAACTGACATACAGAAATGAAGCATTTCAAGGGCCTGATACTCGCCTGTTCCCCACACCCACATTCCTTCAGCCTTGGCTCCTAATTCTTGTTCTTTTTTTTTTTTTTTTTTTTTTTTTTTTTTTTTTTTTGGTTTTTCGAGACAGGGTTTCTCTGTGTAGCTTTGCGCCTTTCCTGGAACTCGCTTTGTAGACCAGGCTGGCCTCGAACTCACAGAGATCCGCCTGGCTCTGCCTCCCAAGTGCTGGGATTAAAGGCGTGCGCCACCACCGCCCGGCCTAATTCTTGTTCTTGATCTATTTGAGAGCTTTTAAAGAGTTCTAAAGGCTTTCAGTGAAGAAAATTAAACATCATAGCAAAATTAACCAGGCTCTACTTTGAGTGAGTGTGTGTGTGTGTGTGTGCGCGTGTGTGTTTTGAAGCAGGACTTCTCAGTGTAGCTTTGGAGCCTATCCTGGAACTTCCTCTTTAGACCAGGCTGGCCTCAAACTCATAGACATCCACCTGCTTTTGCCTCTGGAGTGCTAGGACTAAAGGCATGCACCACCACCACCTCTCGGCCAGGCTCTACTTTTTTGAGACAGGATTTAACTATGTTTCCCAGGATAACTTTGCACTTTCCATCTTGCCTGAGTCTCCCGTGTTCTAGGATTATAGTTGCATAGCACCATGCTCAGAGCTACAACTTTTAAAACCCATATCTTGCAGGTCCTAACAAAGTCACATACACTATAGGACTAAGCCAAGTTCTTTTGGCAACAGTGAGCCCAGGGATCACAAGGGGACTTTGGTTCTGGTGGGCATTCTCAGTTACCCTTGCGAGATGCTTTATACTCTAGGATTGAATGTGTAAGATCAAGGTGTATTGCCACTGTGTTGGTGCACACCTTTAATCCCAGCACTTGGGAGACAGAGGCAGGCGAATCTCTGTGAGTTCAAGGCCAGCCTGGGCTACAGAGTGAGTTCCAGGAAAGGCACAAAGCTACACAGAGAAACCCTGTCTCAAAAAACATATAAACTATACATATACATATACATACATATATATATATACACACATATATATATATAGTGTATCTTTCAGAATTCACCTGAAACCACACACCATGGCAGAAAATCACTCAGTGGCAAAGCATCTTTGCTAAGCAACTAACTCGTAAAGCACTTGGCAGTAAAACTCCGAAACACTAGCACTGAGTGTAAGGGAATCATTTAAGGCACTACGGCTTTCCAGGATGACACTGTGTAAGCATTCTGACAGCTTCCATTTTCTGATGAGCCCCTTGTCAGCTTGGGTTGATGTGACCAAGTGGGACTTGGGATGCTATGTCGGGATTTTTCTGTTTTCCTAAGAGCATCAAAGAGGTGACAGCGATGACAGACAAACCTTGACCTTGAGTGCTAAAAAGTGAAAATTCAAGTACAAGAAAGTCCCTAAACCTTTGAAAGATTTCCTTTCAGCAAATTGTTTCCTCTTGACAGGAAAGTAGTGCAGCTCACTCAACTCCATCAGTCAGCAGCCTTTCTCTCTGAGAAGGGCTTGACCACCCTCAAACACTCCCTCTGTCAGGCAAACTGCCACTGAACACACCTCAACTCCCTTTCACTTTGTATTTGAGATGAAGTTTCCATGAGTTACAAGGCAGCCCTTGAACTTGGAATCCTCCTGCCTCGGCCTCTCAAGTAGCCACTAAGAGATTCTGACATCTTGACCTATGATCATTCTGAAACAGCTTCATGGTGGTCAAGAAACCTCCCAACTTCCTACTTGACCCCACTAAAGAACTTGTATCTTAGTCACCTGTGTCCCAAGAGTCTACACCACATTTCTTTGTGTCTCTTCTCATGGTTCCTGGGACACTCACAATGATAAAGACAGTAGAAATGGAAATACACGTGTGCAGACTTCACTCAACTGCTCATGAGCTCAAAACCTTCCGGGTGATGGCTTCTTTTGGTCCAGTCATGCCCTAGGGATCAGCGCCCTAGGGATCAGCTAACTTTAAACAGAACCACTGCCTACAAGCTTTGAAAAGCAGCTTCCAGGACCCACCTGAGGACCCTTCATGGGTTCACAACTACAAAGGAGCAATGCTGCTCAAGAAAGGGAAGAAAAGAAACAAGGCAGAAAAAAAAAAGAGGAGGCTGAGTGGTGGTGGCGCACGCCTTTAATCCCAGCACTCGGGAGGCAGAGCCAGGTGGATCTTTGTGAGTTCGAGGCCAGCCTGGTCTACAGAGCAAGATCCAGGACAGGCACCAAAACTACACAGAGAAACCCTGTCTCGAAAAACCAAAAAAAGAAAAAGAAGAGAAAAAAGGCCAGGTAAAGAGGAGTCACATGGGGAGAGAAACAGGTTTGCTCTAGTCCTTGGGGAAGCCGACCTCAGTGAAGAAGTGATCTTTCCTTTTTTTTCCCCCTGTAGGTGTTTATATGTACATGTGGAGTTATGTGTCCAAGTGGAGCCTAGCCATCCACTGTATGTGGAGGCCACTGTATGTGGCGGCCAGCCGCTGACGTGGTGTGTTCTTCAATTGCTTCTCCACCTAATCTATTTTTATTTTTACTGAGGTCTTAGGGATCTGAACTCAAGATCATGCTTTTTCAGCAAAGACTCAACTTAACCATATCTCCAGCCCGCTTTCTTTTCTAGTGATTGTCTCAATATACAGTTCTAGGCTGGTCTTGAACTTGAGGATACTAGTGATCTTCCTGACTCCCCCCTCAAGTTCCTGGAACAACTGATCCATTGCCACATCAGGCTCCCCTGACTTCTCTAACTTGCTCTTCTAGAGCTGACCCCACTCACAAGTCACTGTGGACACCCCTCAGAAAGAGCTTGAGGGGACTGAGCCCCAGAGTTGGGAAGGGGTTGGTTTAAGTTGACAAGGGCTTTGAAACACAGCTCCCGATTCCAATCCCCAGTTCTCTTTAAGAATCTTTGGGGGTGGAGTTGAGAAGGAAAGAAACTTGACTGTCCTGTGTAGAAGGTGCTTCAACATTTGGAGGGGAAATAGCAGCAAGATGGCTCAGTAGGGAAAGGCCCTTGTCACCAAGCATGATGACCTAAATTCTATCCACAGGACCCACATGATGGAGGAGCCCAAAAAGTTGTCCTCGGCCCTTCACATGCACGTATGTTCTGACAAATAAATGTAATAAGAAGAAGACCAAAACACTCGGGGGAGCAGAGGAGAACCCGCTGCGGGAGGGGAGTGCTGTCTCCCTTTAGAAACTTCATCTTAACTGAGGCTGGTGAAGTCACTCTTCCCTCCCACTCATTGGACTCTGTGTCAGCCCGGGGACACAGACACTCCTACAAGGGTTATTTAGGCAAGTGCAAAGACAAAGAGGGATGTGGAGCTGGGAGTGGCTCCAGCTGTGAGAGGAGGGGTGGCATAAGCCACCAAAACTATCTGTGGGGCCCCAGCTGACAGGCCTCGCACCCATTGTGGTTATTTTCCGCTTTGAGCACTCCGTGTATTTAGAAATGACTCGCCGGCCTTAGGCAGAGCTGAAATAATAGCACAGCAAGCGTATCCAAGAGCCCTTCCTGATGCCGACTGGCTCAGTGAGAGTCCGTGAAGTCACAGCAGTGTGGTCAAACTTGTCCCTTTAAAAAGCAAGAGGAGCTGGCTGGACCAAAGCCTGCTTAGAGAAAGCTTGGGCAGGAGAGAAGATCCTCTTGTGGACATGTCTGGAAGCCAGGGGTACTGGTCTAGCCTGTGGCTCTGGCAGATGCATGAGTCAGCAGAGGGAGGGTGGGCTTGGGGTCTCCATACCTCTGATGGTCCCCTTCTCTCCAGTCTTTCTTTTGCTTCTGGCCTCCCCCGCCCCTCTCCTGCACGGCAGCACCAGCCCTTCCCCAATCCTGCCCCTCAGAAGTCAAGGTTTAAGAGGACCTGGAGAAAGGCTGTCCCGCCTCACTCACCTCAGTCCACTTTAAACGGAAGCCTCCATAGCTGCCCTTTCGAGGCTCCTCCCAACCTCCAAATGCAGATAAAGAGCAAAGCGGCCAGGATCCCTGATGCTGAGAAGAGCTATGACCTGATGAGCCCTGCTGCCTGTGGAGCTCTGTCCCTTGGCACCCACAGGCAGCAGGGCTCTTAATGATCATGCTGTCCCAAGGCCACCTGGCCTCCCAGTCCTACCCCACTGGGAAGAGTTGATGAAGGGCTCCCGGGAACCTGCTCAGCCTGGGAGCTGGGTACAGCCACCCCACGGTTTTTTGTTGTTTGTTTGTTTGTTTTTGTTTTTGAGAAGTTTACAATATACTGGCCTGTGACTGCCCCCTGGGGGCTAAGATAGACCTTGGGGGGCAGTGTAGGACAATAAGGAAAACACCTGGGGATTCATTCCCTCCTGGTCTTTCCATTCTCAGGCCACTCTGTCGTGTGTCAGGAGGGGTAAGGACAGGTAGGCCCTGGCACCCAGGAGCGTCACACTCACAACCGTAATTGTCTAACAGCTGTCTTCCTTGTGCCGGTGAAGGCGCCAGCGTGGATGATTGCATTGGCTGCATGACAAAGTAGCAGAGATGAGGGTCTGGGGCAAGGAAAGGCAGGGTGAATCAGTGGGCACCCCCAGACTGAATTAAGTGAGACCTGAGCATGAGGCCAGCCAAGGTAGGCCCACCAGGCCTGGGCAGGTCCGGGGTGTATGCCAGTGACCCACCAGGACTGGGCAATTCCGGGGTGTATGCCAGTGACCCACCAGGACTGGGCAATTCCGGGGTGTATGCCAGTGCCCCACCAGGACTGGGCAGGTCCAGGGTATATGCCAGTGCCCCACCAGGACTGGGCAGGTCCGGGGTGTATGCTAATGACCCACCAGGCCTGGGCAGGTCCGGGGTGTATGCCAGTGACCCACCAGGCCTGGGCAGGTCCAGGGTGTACACCAGTGACCCACCAGGACTGGGTAATTCCAGGGTATATGCCAGTGACCCACCAGGACTGGGCAGATCCGGGGTGTATGCCAGTGACCCACCAGAACTGGGCAGGTCCAGGGTATATGCCTGTGTCCCACCAGGACTGGGCAATTCCGGGGTGTATGCCAGTGACCCACCAGGCCTGGGCAGGTCCAGGGTGTACACCAGTGACCCACCAGGACTGGGCAGGTCCGGGGTGTATGCCAGTGACTGCACTTCAACACTTTTATCTTGGCGTGTTGGTTGTTAACATAAACCCTTTGCCTCGGTTCCTCAAGCACACATGGAGGTGCGTCTGCTGCTGAACGGCTCTGGGAAGCTCCCTCCAACCCCACCCCCAGCAAGAGAACTGAATACTTGTCAGAAATAAAAACTCAGATGTGTGTCCCAAAGCTGCTGCTTCAGAAGCTCCAGGGGAGGGTGGCTCCCCCATTCTGGTTTGGAACAAGGTCCTTCTGAGAACCAGGACCTGCCTGTCAGTGAGGTCCTCAGCCTGGGCCCTGTCCAATCTGTGCCCATAGCTTTTTCCCTTACTCACAGCTTCCTTCCCCCAGCACAAGGCCACAGGAGGCACAAACCATCAGCCTGTGCTTGTTCAGCCAAGTCCTCCCTACCTCTAAGCCCTCACTGTCACGTGCCATCGCTCTGACCCTGGCTCCCCAAACCCTGCTTCCTGAATTCATCATTTTATGTTTGAAGCTTCACCTCTTCCTCCTGGTTATTTCCACCTTGTCTCCAAAGTTAGTGTGGTTCTCTTCAATTCTGCAAGGAAAAAACCCAGAAGGTATACTATATTCTACTATAAACTACTTCAAAGAACCCATGCTAACTCCCCTTTCCTCTCACAGGTAAGGAAACCGGTCCCAAACCACATGCCGGGTCACTGGGCTAGGAATCTGGTCCCTGGATCTCACTCAGGGCTCAGCCTGTGCGCTCTCCTCTTACGTAACCCTCCCTTTTACAGGCTCAGCCCCATCACACTGCACTCCGAAGGTCCCCTGAATCCACAGTGTCTTCCAGCTCCTACTCCCCGCCCCCCAACTTCTTCAGGATCTGCTCCTCCCTCGAACCTCACGATCCACACCGTCTTTGAGTTTACCCTTTAGCCACTGGGCCACGAGTCCTCGCCTTGGTTCTCCTGGAGCCCCCAACACTGGAATTGAATTGAGATGTGGGGTATGAAGGGGACAGGGTGACAAAGGAGAACCCCTCTTCCTGGAGACCCCTTCCTGACTTGGGGGAACCCCTACCTGTTCCTTTTCTTTATCCTCACTCCCAGGCCCGTTTTGATGAACCAAGTGGACAGGAGGAGAAGGGCAGTGGGTTCCCCAGAACAGGGCAGGGAGGGGCGGCTGTCTAACCCTGTCACCGGCAGACTGTCCCCCTTAGCCACCCCTTCCTCATTTCCTGTCCAGCTCTTCTTCCTCTGGCCTCCCCAGAGCTACTCATTCCTTTTTCTCTCTTTTTTCTCCCCTTACCTATGAGCCACTGTTTGAACTGTCCTTTCTGGGTAGGTGCCTCCAATTCTGTTTTTATTTTTTTCAAGACTGGTTTTCAGAGGTTTGCGTAGCCCTGGCTATCCTGGAACTGGCTCTGTAGGCCAGGCTGACTTCAGAGATCCCCCTCTGCCTCTGTCTCCCAAGTGTTGGGATTAAAGGCCTGTCTGTGCCACTGCCTGGCTAGATGCTTCCAATTTTAAATCTGTCCTCAAACCCTATTATTATCAGTATTTTCCAGAACATTCACTCTAGAAGCCTTAGAAGCCATTCAGAGCCCACAATCTCAACTAACACTTGCCTCTGTCCCCTACATCAAAGGGGCACCCTCAGACTTTGACCTTATCCTGATTGCCACCCTGCTCTGTCCCCTGGCAGCTACTCTATTAATCTATTTTACTGATCAGGAACATCCCACAACCCTGACTACACTGAGTTCCCATGGGTCCAGGTGCAAAGATCCAAACAGAAACATTGACCCAGATATGCTGAAATGCCAATGGTGGCCCTTCTGTGCAGACACCCATTGCCCAACAGGAGGCTGGTCCAGGCTCTGGAGGGAAGAGCACCCCACTATGGGCAGCTCAGCCCCTGCTGCTCACAGGAGCTTCGAAGGAGTTAATGACTGTTTTCTTCATGGACAGAGAGGACAGTAGACCAGATGACAGCGCTTTCCCTCCTGCTGCTGGGCCCATGTCACTGACCCCTCAGGAAGGGTTTCTCTGAGAGTGCAATGCAGCAGGAATGATGACTGATCCAGAGAGAAAGACCTTGGCTTCAGTGAGGATGATTATCAGGGTCAGAGAATGGCATGGTGAGGGTGATGTCAACGTGAGGATGATGTCAAGGTCAGAAGTTGGCATGGCAGAGGATGGCATGGTGAAGATAGGTGTCAAGGTCAGAGGTTGACATGGTGAGGATGATGTCAAGGTCAGAGGTTGGCATTGAGGGTAAGACTAGGGTCATCAGAGGCCACAGCTGAAAAGTCAGAAGCCATTTGGTTCTCTGAAAGAATGGGCCTATGCTGGAGCGTTCTGATGTCAGCCTCTCTGGCTTTAGAAGCACTGGACTGTCTCTTCCCAGGCCTGGACACCTGTCATTTTAGCAAGGCTCTGCTAGCTGTCCATGCAAAATCTGGGGCTCATAGTGGGACACAGAGTGAAGAAGAAGAACCTTCCTTGGAATTGGAAACATTTTGTTCTGTCCTGTTCTTCTCAAGTAGGCCCAGCCCTCTCCCCGCCACCTCCTTAGAGTCCAGGGAGTTGGGCTGGCTCCCTTACTGACCAGCTACAGGACTTAGGACCAAGATAACAAACTCTTTCCATGTTCTGCTTTCCTCATCTGAGAGTGAACGCTGCAGAACACTCCCTGCATAGCCTATGGGATGGACATGCTGATCAGAACATGCTTTTATCAAAGCAGGTTACCATTAAGCAGCCACACCCAGCATGTGATCTAATTAGACCCATTCAATGATGTTGGGAGACAGGTGAGGAAACCTTCTCAGCCTCTTACAAATGCACACCATGGCTCCCTCGGGACCAGGGTCTGCTTGGCTACATGGCTACCATGTGGCTCACTAAGCAGGGACTCAACCAAGACTCCTAGCCCCAGACCCCAGTTCGCAAGAGGCCACAGTGACAACCCACTGCCATTATTTTAGCAAACAGCAAATTTTCAGTGTGATATGGCCTGGGGACTTGCTAGCAGGTCGGCACTGGTTACCCTAGAGACTCTCAGCAGCTCAATTAGCATGTCTTATGTGAGTCATTTTGACCTAAGGAAGAGCTGCAGCATCACCAGCCTAGAGTAGAGTTAGCCAAGGAGGAGGAAGAACCTGGAAGCACCCCTGTGCCATGAGGCTCACAGTAACCACACCCTGCTGGGCACAGAGGAATGCAGAACTATGAAATTGAGAGGCTCAAACTCTCACCAGGAGTGCCACAAGAAATACCCTGGTGGCAAGGCTCCTAAGTAGCTAAGCTGATGCCAGACCCAAGCTCCCCGGTTCCACTCCCAGTGTTCCTCCCTCAGGCCTTCCCTGGCTCCTCCCTCCATCTCATCCTCAGCTGACTGCCGCCCTGGGGTGACATGTACCATAGCACTTTTTCCACATATAACCTCTGAATAGGGACAGTCCTCTCAGAGGGGACTCAGCTTATCCCCACAGGGCAGGAAACCCCTGAAAATGTGTGTGCTAGGGAAAAGAAAATGGCACTCACGACTTGTCTCGCCTGCCAAGCCTCCTTGGGGGGCTTGCTTGCCTCCTTCGGGGAGACAGGGATTTTCCTCGGCTTCTCACTTGGGTTGGAGAGTGGGCACTTGCAGGTTTCAAGATCTGAAGAAGACAGAAGGAGTTAGCCACACTGGATCCTGAGGACCCGCACCTCTCATATCCCACAACACACCACCACCCCAACCCCAGCCTACCAGGATGTATGTTCCTCACATCTACACTGGAAAAAGGTAAGGGTACCAGTCCCTGGAGAGTGAGAGGGATCATTACATCGCTCCCTTCTCTGTGGAGGGAGGGAACCAAGCCCAGCCCCCCAGCCCCCTGGGGCTGTTTGCCTAGAAGTTTCTTGTGGTGATGTTTTGTTTGTGCTCTAACAAATAAAGCTTGCCTGGAGATCGGAGTGTAGAGCTAGCCACTAGTTAACCATAGAGGCCAGGCAGTGATGGCACACACCTTTAATCCTAGCACTTGGGAGGAGGAAGCAGGAAGTGATATGGCTGGACAGAGGGAGGAATATAAGGCGGAAGGAGACAGGAGTTCAGCTCCCTCTCCGTCTGAGGATTCCTAGAGGTAAGAAGTCTCTCTAGTGGCTGCTCTGCTTCTCTGAGCTTTCAGCTTTCACCCTGATATCTGACTCTGGGTTTTGTTATTAAGACCAATTAGAATTCGCGCTACAGTTTCTCATCCTGGAAGGCAAAGTCTCCCCTGCAGCACCCCAGAAACCAGGTTCTGCTGACTCCCCTTTCCCATGTTCAGGCACAGAGTAGGCTCCAGCTTACCAGTATCACCACTTGGGGCCCTGAAGACTGAAGATAAGCAAGCCTGACTCAGAATAGCCACTTACTCTCAGTGACTCCACAGGCCCTGGAGGGACAGGGACAAGTGGGCGTGTTGCACTATGGAGTGAAGAATGGATACTGAGTACCATGTCCCCAAGCTCAGCAGTGAATGCCCCCTCTTAAACGCTGTGACACCAGCTCAGAACTTGATGCCCAAGACCTTGAAACTTAGGCCAAACAGACATGTCTCTGAAATAGACCATAAGACAGGGTCTTAGGCCAAGAAGTGACTTCCTGCGGAGTCCCTCTGTTCCGGGCACAGTACCTGAACAACAGAACTGGTCTCTTATTTTTAGATCTTAGTTCATAGAAGGAATTAAGAAAAGAGGCACCGCTTCCTTTGTAACATCTAAGATGGTTTCAGCTCTGATTTGGGAAGTACATCTGCCTCTCAGGGATGTTTTTGGGAATTGGTTACAGCACCCCAAAGAGACACCAAAATCCATGGGTATTCAAGTCCCTTATGATTGTATATGACCTACACACATCCATCCTCCTGTAGACTTCGCATCACAACTTGAATGCTCTGTAATGCCTAAGACATAATAGCTGTTCAACTATATATTATTCAGGGAATAATAAGAAAAAATATGTATTTTCAGCACAGCTACAAGTTTTTTTCATATTGTCCTTGATGCAGAGCTAGTTGAAACCAAGGGTGCAAACTCCGCAGGCACAGACGGCAGGCCGTATCACATGTGAAAGGACTAACTGTCCAATCAAATGAGGGTGCAGAGGGTTTGTTTTTACAGAGTGACCACTAAGCAAAAAACAAACAAACAAACAAACAAACAAACACCTCCTGCCATTTAGAAAAAGCAAAAGATAATGTGATTGTTAAATCCTGATTCTCCGTTTGATGGGATTTAAGAATCTCACAGGGGAAGCTGCTCCTCGAGCATGTCTGTGAGGAAGTTTCTAGGTTGGATAAGTTGAGGTGGGAACCACACACTAGTGTGGACAGCCCCATTCTATAGGCTGAAGCCAAAACGGAATAAAAAGGAGCAAGTGAGCTGAGCCCCAGCTGTGGACAGTTGCTTCAGGTTCCTACAGCTCTGTTGTTTCCCATGACGGAGTGCATCCTTGAACTGTGCACTAAACCAAACTCCCCTTCCCACCTTGCCATATTTTGGGGTCAGGTATTTTGTCCTGTGTGTAAAGCAATGGATACAGATGGAAAGCTCCGACACACCACGCACTTGTCCCGGCACTCACCTTCATCCGCATGTCCCGGGCGTACTTCTCCAGCTCCTTCCGTATGTCAGCCCTCAGCATCTTTGAGACATTGAGGACCAGCTGCTTCCACTCAATGGGTTGGAAGCTGTGAGGCTCATGGGGGACATACAGCCCAATTTTGACCTTCTTGACTGTGTGCAGGTATTTTTTGTAGGAGTCTTCAAAGTCGAAGACAAGGTCACTCAGAGTCCGAAAGGTCAGCGGCTTGTCCATCAGTTCAGCCCTTCGGCTCATGCCTAGTGAGCCATAGTAACCATTGCAATAAATCCCCAGCACGACATGGTGAAAGTAGTTTCCTGAGAAATAGGTTTTAAAGCTGATGGGGAACCGCTCGATGGAAGGCTGCCCGTTCGTTAAATATCTTACACAAGTGGAGTCAAGGAAGAGACAGGGGCCTTAAGAATTCAGAGAGCAGGCCAGCGGTGGTGGCGCACACCTTTAATCCCAGCACTCGAAAGGCAGAGGCAGGCGGATCTCTGTGAGTTCAAGGCCAGCCTGGTCTACAAAGCGAGATCCAGGACAGTCACCAAAACTATACAGAGAAACCCTGTCTCAAAAAACCAGAAAAAAAAAAAATTCAAAGAGCATGGCTTCCCAGGATGAGACACTACTCCTGGGGCCAGTAAGTCCATCCCCCTGTCTCCGGCAGCTCAGTATCTAACCTTTCCAGACGAATCCTCTACAGTGGATTTTCTGGGCATCTTTGAGTATCAATTCTGTGATGCATACCAAAACCAAACGATTATGGGATAAAGAAAAACTGCCATCCTCAGTAGTTAAATGCAAAACAAGATGACGGCCCGCTTCCCTTACCTGACTTTCTATGGGCACTTGGAGCTACGTAAGGTGTTTTTACTTATTTGTAGGTGTGCACGCACGCAGGTGTGCATGTGAACACAGGCACACTCAACCATGAGGGCACAAGTTAAGTAACGGCCGGAGCTTCACACCGGATGTCTTCCCTCGGTTGTTCTTATTTTGGAGATAGGATCTCTCACTAAACCTGACGCTCATCATTTCAATAGACTGGCTGGCCAGCAAATCCCAAGATTCCCGTCTCGACTCTCCAATGCTGGGGATCCAGGCACGCATGACCACTTAGCTCTCATGTGGAGTCAGGGGATCTGAACTCAGGTCTTCATGCTTGTGCATCGATTTCCTGAGCGGTCTCCCCAGCCAAGTGTGTTTTTTAAACACAATCAAGCCAGGCAGTGGTGGCACACACCTTTAATCCCAGCACACAGGCAGACAAATCTGAGTTTTTCAGGACAGCTAGGGCTACAAAGAGAAACCCTGTCTTGAAAAACCAAACAAACACAATCAGAATATGTTCCGACTGCTTTGTGTGGTGCAGGCAGGATCTAACGGCCTCTGTGGTGGTCCAGGCAAGAAAGGAAAACCAGAATCCAAGACACAAGGTAAGGCCAAGGCTGGCTGGTGACCGGAGGGTGAAGGACAGAGAGGAGTCTGAAGAGGTCACATTTTGGGTTTTTTTTGGGTTTTTTTTTTAGATTTTAATTTTGTGTGCATTGGTGTTTTTGCCTGTATGCATGTTTGTGTGAGGGTGCCAGATCCCTTAGAAATGGAATGACAAACAACTGTGAGCTGTCATGTGGGTGCTAGGAATCGAACCCGGGTCCTCTGGAAGATCAGCCAGTGTTCTTAACCACTGAGTCATCTCTCCAACCAGGAGTCACACAGTTGCTCTCATCGTACCTGGCACACTGTGCCAACCACCTGGGCTACCATGTAGAAAACCTCTACCCTCCATCCCAAGTGCCCCCCGCCATCCTAGTCCCCACCTCACATGGCACACCTTGGCTCTCCCCACTCGCTGGCCTGTACTGATTTAGTGGCAGCCTCTTGCCATGACTTTAGTTGTGTGTGTGTGTGTGGTGTGTGCACATGAGTGTGGAGGTCAGAGGTCCCCTTTGGTGTTCCTCTGCTGTCCTTACTTTTCTAGACAGGACCTCTTGTCCTGGAACTGGATCATTAAGTAAGCTGTCTGGCAGGTGAGACCCAGGGCTCCTCCTGCCTCCACCTCGACAGGGCTGGGATCACAAGGGCAAGTCTCAATAACTGGTGTCTGTTTGTTTTAATATTGGTCCTGGGTGAGCAAACTCAGGTCCTTGTGCTTGCAAGGCAATCACTTTACCCACAGAGCGGCCTCCCCAACCACTACAATGTTGGTTTTGACCAATAAGTGCAGAGGAGCAGCTTGAATTAACGTCTAACTCCAGGCCCTGGATGGCTGAGCGAGAGGCATCACACTTCCAAGCCCCTCTCGAAATTCCACACCATTCCTGTCAGATCTCACGGCCCTTGGCCCAACTTTTCTAAAAACTCTCTCGGCCATTCCTCTTACAGAATGCCCAGGGGACCTGCAGGCTTTTCAGGTAAATAATGACATGGCACTGTGTGATGGTGAGTTCAGGTGTGCCGACACAGCTCTCCATCCATCCTCATTCTGTACAGACAGCTGAAATGACTCAGCAGTAAAGGTACCTGCCACCAAGCCAGATGACCCGAGTCTCATCCCCACAATGCAATATGATGAAAAGAAAGAACTGACTCCTACAAGTTATCCATGTGCCACAGCACCTCCCCTCCAAATAAATATTTTTTTTAAAGAATCCGTCTTAATCTCATGTTACCTGACAACTTGATTTCCTGGGTGGCCTGAATGACGTATCTCAGCCCAAAATGGGTAAACAGTCTTCCACCTCAGAGATTTCCACACCTTAATTCTTAGGACTGTCTAGATCCCTGAGCCAAGTCCTGATGTGACTTGGCCCCTGACCATTGACCCTCTGTGTCACCTCAGTGTCCTTGTCTGACCATCAGGAGGCCCTGAACATTTTTCAAGGATACATCCTGAAGCCATAACGAATGCACACAGGAGCCAGGTATGGTGGCACACACCTTTAATCCCGGCTTTTGAGAGGCAGGGACAGACAGAGCTCTAAGTTTGAGGCCAGCCAGGGCTCCTTAGTGAAACCCTGTCCTGAAAACGCAGTGGAAGCCATGGTCCTTAGCACATAAGTTCCCCCACAAGCAGCTGAGTATTTAGATGGCGCGGTGGTTTGAATGAGAACGGCCACATAGGCTCAAGTATTTGAATGGTTGTCTCCAGTTGGTGAAGCTTTTTCGGAGGGATTAAGAGCCATGGCCTTGTTAGAGGTGTGGCCTCATTGGAAGTGGTATGGCCTTATTAAAGGAGGTGTGGCCTTGGTAGGAGGTGTGTCACTGGGGGTAGGCTTTGAGAATTCAAAGGTGCACACCATTCCCAGTTAGCTCTTTCCCTGCCTCGAGGTTTTTGTCTCTTAGCTACTGCTCCAACCCACGCCTTCCTGTGGCCCTGTTCCCATTCACCCTCTGAAACTGTAAGCCCCAAATACTCTTTCTTCCATCAGTTGCCTTGGTCATGGTATCTTACCACAGCAATAGAGAAGTAACTAAGATGGAGGACCTTCAGATGACTCTACAGAGCAGTGTATCAGGAAGTCATACACAGGGCTGGGGTTTCAGCCGAGTGGGAAAGCACTTGCCTCTCAAGCATGAGGCCCAGGTTCAATCCTCAGGACCACCCAAAAGACAAAAGGACACCAGAGCACAATGGCACAGGCCTACAATTCTAGCAGCTGGGAGGCTAGAGGAAGTCCAAGGCCAGCCTGGAATACATAGTATGGCTCTGCCTCAAAACAAAACCAATTATGGAACTCTTGGAAACAAATCAACCAAGGTAGTTTGTTTGTGGGAGTAGCAGCTTTTAGCTTCATTTCCCAACACCAAGTGCAGCTGGGACCATGACCAACCTGCACCACAATCCTCCCAGCAAGGCTCGCCACAGTAGCTGTTCCTCCAAAGTACCCACCACCATTCAGACAAAAATTTGGAGCCTAAGATCCCTGTGTCTGGCATGCATGGGAAATGTGGGCACATATTAGTTAGCAGGGTACAAAGTGACTGTCCAGGAAGGGATCCTGAACTTGAGGCTGACGTGAAGAGACTTACTGCACAAGCCGGGGAGACAGCTTAGTCTGCAAAGCACTTGCCTTGTTCAATTCCCAGAACCCAGGCTTGTAATCTCAGGCTGGGAAAGTAGAAACAGGTAGATCTGTGGGGTTCACTGGCCAGCCAGCTTAGCTTACTTGGTGGGTTCTGGACCAGTTGTTCCCGGCCTGCACACTCACCCTTATACACATTACATAGAAAAGTAGGACCAGTGACCAGAAGTCAGCCAAACCTAGCAGTTTCCCAGTTGTCAAGGAAACCTTGCTTCCCAGGACAGCGGGAAACTGGGAGACACTGACCATGACCATCACTCTTCCCAAGAGGAAAGCAGGACACCGGATGCTGACATCGAGCAAATACAGAACTGCTGTAACTTTGGATGGAGGTCTGTGCTGAGTCCGGTTTCCCTGAGCATAGCATGACAGGCAGTCTCCCCCGGCCACCACCCCCCACCCCCCACCACCCCCCACCACCCGCCTTGCTCTTCTCTGAAATGTCACAAAGGTAAGAACAAAGTAAAATCAAGAGCACTGGCCCAGCGGGGTCTTAGATCTATTCTCTACAAGCCCTAATGCTTCTGGGTAATTCCAGGGACAATGATGCTCAGATGTATGACAATGTGCAAAGGACAAGGTGGCCTATATACTCCAGCACACTCAGCAGGCAGGCAAAGCAGCTGAGTGGTGCTTGTCAGGGTCTGGCCTGTGTCCTCTGCTGGCCTCTACCAGCAGCTCCCAAGCCAATGGCTCCCAGCAGGGGGCTCTGCTTACAACTGTGGCTAACTCCTGCTAGTCAAGAGTGGGGCCTGAGATACCTGTTGCCCCGCAGCCTGCCCTCCTGCTACACTCTCTAACGTGCATTTCCCCTTTATATGCTGAGCAAGGAGAAGATTTGGGAGAGGCTTCAGAAAGACTCAAGTTTTCATTTTCCAAATGCTAACTAAGGCATGGATGGACAGTCATACTGCAGGTCAGACCCTTGTGTGTTCTGCCAGTGACAGAGAAGCAAGAAGCTCCCTGTCCTGTGGAAACATGCAGTGGCAGGTGTGGAGCCCAGACTTTAATACCGAGCAATGTACACACACATAAAGCACACACACACAAAGCATAAGACCCTATGAAAATGTGGAGCCAGAGGTCTAGCTCGGGTAAAGTGCTGGGCTACTATGTTCAAGGCTCTGAGTTCGGTCTCCAGCACCTCAAAGAGCAAAAACAAAACAAAAAGGTACAAGAGGGGCAAAGAGATGGTTCAGTGATTAAAGTGCCTGCTGTGCAGCCCGGCAGTAGTGGTGGTGGTGGTGGTGGTGGTGGTGGTGGTGGTGGTGGCGGCGGCGGCGGCGGCGGCGGCGGCGGCGGCGGCGGCGGCGCACGCCTTTAATCCCAGCACTTGAGAGGCAGAGACAGGAGCATCTCTGTGGTTGGAGGCCAGCCTGGTCTACAGAGCGAGTTCCAGGACAGTAGGTAGAGAAACTGTGTCTTGCAAAGCAAGAGGACCTGAGTTCAGACCGCCAGCACCCATGTGAAGGAGTCAGGTGTGGCGGTGAGTGCCTGTAATCCCAGAACTGGGAAACAGAGACAAGAGGGTCCCAGGGGCTTGCCCAGCCAGCCAGTCTACCAAACCAGGGTCCTCAGGTTCAGTGGGAGACCCTGTCTCAATAAGTCAGGTAGATGGTTGGGAAGGGATGTGTCTCAGTGAGTTAAAGCTCTTATTGCACATGCAAAGAACCTGAGTTCAAATCCCAAGAACCTACACAAAGCCAGGTATGGCAGAACACATGTGGAACCCCATTAGTTCTATGAGGTGGGGTGGCAGGTAGGAAAATCCCTGGAAGCCTATGGGCCCCATAACTTGCTGTGTGCTAAAATGGACAAAAAAAAAAAAAAAGAGACTTTGTCTCAAATGAAGTGGAAGGTGAGCACAGACACCCGAGGTTGTCCTCAGACTGCCACACTCATGCTGTGGCATGTGCTTACCCACATTTACACACATATACGTGCATACACTTACATTACACACACACACAGGTGGAGAGTGCTAAAAGGCATTCAATGTTAAGCTGTTAGGCCCTGTACCCATACATGCATACCTTAGTGTGCGTACCTGCACCCAAGTGCACACACATGCATATACCACACGTGTCTATGCGTCCAAACAGACTAGACCATCCTCTTGTTGCCATCTAATTCTGAAGCATACCTTCCACTGACCCATCTCCTTTCCTGGTTTTCACCCTACCTCTAAGTTTCCTTTAAGTCTCTGTCCTGCTTAGTTTTCATTGTCTACCTGACACAATTTAGAGTCATCTCAACTCAAGAGTTGCCTCCATCAGACCGGCCTGTGGCCATGCCTGTGAGCAACTGTTTTGATTGATGATTGATGTGGAGGGCCCCGCCCACTATGGGCAACACCATTCCTAGGCAGGTGGGTCTGAGCTGCATAAGAAAGGTAGCTGAGAATGAACCAGGGAAAGAGCCAGTAAGTAGCATTCCTCCATGGTTTCTGCCCTGACTTCCCTCAACGATGGACTCTGATCTGGGAGTATTAGCCGAAATAAATCCTTTCTTCCCCTAAGTCACTTTGGTCATGGTGTCGATCACAGCAAAGCATAAAGGACAGGCTCCTTCACTGGTTCTGTGTCCATCTAGATAAAAAAATTTCTTCCTTAATCATTTTTCCTTCTCCTGTCTCCCCAACACTCCCACCACCCAATTTGTGTTTCTAGCATAGATCCACCCCCTCAAAAGCCCAACTACTCTCCAAATATCCCATCCCGAATAGCCCAGATTCCACGTTTCAGATTCAGCCAGTCCACATCTGAGCTCATGCCCTACAGTCGGAGCCTTCCTTTCAAGTCCTTCCCTTGCGGCCGTGGCATCATTATGCAAGACAGAAATGCAGGGATCCGCAGTGCTCTGGCCTGGACACCTGCAGCCCCCTCCCTTCAACCTTCACGGCTTCTGTCCCAGCGCAGGTCTACACAAAGGATGTCACACTCCTGTCACTCCTGACCCTTCAAGTTCATCTTCTCCATCTGTGGCCTAATGGGAAGCCTGTATTAGTTGACTCCCTGTCAATTCCTATGCCTGGCTGGTTTCCAAGTTCTGTACACTCTATCTCCTGGCAGGAAACTATTTCACCCACCCCAGTCCCACTGCCAAGGTCATGGTCCAAGTATGACCCTTCCCTCCTGTAAGCACTCACAATGAGCTGGCAGACCCAGCCCCGCTGCTCCCACTGTCCTCGTTGAGAAAGTCACTCTAAGTGGAATACCCAGGCCTGAGCCCACGTCACTCTTCACCTTCAGGTCTTTTGGAAAGCCACTTAGCACTGACTATTAACCTGACACCTTGTTGTGCTCCTGTGGCCATGGTCCCCCCAGCCAACTACCCCACAGGCTCCAGCATTTCTCTGGCTCTTCTATCTGGTTGTGTTCAGTTACCACCACCACCAGTCAGGGTCATCACAGCTTTCTGGACCAAATTCCTCCCAAGGCAAAGAGCCAAGGAGGTGGCAAAAATGATAAAGCACAGGAGACCAGACCCTGTGCCCACTGGTTCCATCGAGGCACATTGCCAGCACCTGCTCATCTCTGCAACCTGCTCTCACACTTGGAGTGGTGATGGTTTGGATATTCGTCCTCTTGGCCTTGCTTCAACTCCATGTAAGTGTCTTTCTTATGACAGTGTCAGGATAGTGCACACATATGCCACATTGCCGTATGAGTGCCACACATGCACTCTCTGAAGTCCTTCTGACCCTGAATTCTCCTTGGGACTGCTGAATCTACAGTCACCTGCCTGACCACTGGCCCTGACAGCTCCACAGACAACAGGTTAGATGAATGCTGGTCCAAGGAGCCAAGCATTGATTTTGTTCAACTCCAGCCAGGCCAAATTGAGAGAAGTACCAAGGGGGTCTGACACTTTTCTCCAAGGACACCAAAGACACAACTAGCTCCAGAACAGGGTCACGAAGTAAACACACAAAGCTTAAAGGATACATGCCCAGAATGACTGCCTCAAGGCATTTGATAGGCAAGGATTCTCGGGTCATCTCTTTCGCTGTTTCCATTAACCTGTGGGATAGAGCACAAGAGAAGACCTCAGGACTTACACAATTACGCAGTCAGTTTGACTGTCAGTTCATCAGTCTGTCCGTATGCCTGTCTCCACACTAGCACCATGCAGGAATCTAGAAAGGGAACAACTTGCTTCCAAGGGAGGACCCCAAAAACACATGTGCGCTTGACAGAACTAAGATCCTCAAGTCCGCACTCCCCTCCCAGTTACCTCAGAGAGGACCATGTTAACACCTCCCAGCACCCTCCCAGCCTGGAGGTGGGGACATACAGGAACAAGTAAAGCAGGCCTCATGAGGAGGTTTGCAGGCCTCTGCCATCTTGGAAGTCAGTCTGGTCTGTTTTGCTTTTTGAGTCAGGGTCTCACTGTGTAGCCCTGGCTGGCCTGGAACTTGCTATGTACACCTGGCTGGTCTCAAACTCAAGAGATGCACTTGCCTGCCAAGTGCTGAGATTAAAGATGTAGGTTACCACACCTGGCCCGAGAGTCAGTCTTGATCACTGAATTTAGCTGCCAAGACTAACTAGTCCTCAGCCCCCACCCTAGGGCACCCTCTGCAGACTAGAATCCTGGAGCCCTAGGAGACAGGGACAGAGGTTGGGAGAGGGGGCTGGTAGCTCACCCGTAGGAGAGAGGCCATCTGGTCCAGAGATCATGCACCACTTACCCGCTCAGAGGTCTCATTTTCCTGATTTCAAAGAACTGGGTCCCTGTGTGATTGTATCTGTGTGAAATATGTAAAGGCAAAGTGACAGAAGTCCCAGTCATCCAGCAGAGGGCCAGACAGATTCCCATTTCTCTATAGGGTAAGGAAGTAGTTGCTTTTCTGGCCAGTGGCCAGGGGAAGCCAACAGCCTGTGACTCCTCACTGTGAAACTCTTGAAATCTAATTTTCTTTTCTTTTTAAGATTTATTTTATGTATATGAGTGCTCTCTCTGCATGTACAACTCTATGCCAGAAGAGAGCATCAGATTTCATTATAGATGGTTGTGAGCCACCATGTGGTTGCTGGGAATTGAACACAGAACCTCTAGAAGAGCAGCCAGTGCTCTTAACCACTGAGCCATCTCTCCAGCCTGGAAATCTAATTTATTTTTTTTTATTTTTATTTTTTTTTTTGGTTTTTCGAGACAGGGTTTCTCTGTGTAGCTTTGCGCCTTTCCTGGAACTCACTTGGTAGCCCAGGCTGGCCTCGAACTCACAGAGATCCACCTGGCTCTGCCTCCCGAGTGCTGGGATTAAAGGCGTGCGCCACCACTGCCCGGCTTGGAAATCTAATTTCTAACTGAGCCTAGATTTACTTTTGATAATACCTCATTTCAGTCTGCCCTGTGTCCCAGTCACAGTGACCACATGTCTAAGTCACATGCTAGACTAGAAGCTCTTGAGAGCTGGGAACATTCATCATAAAGCCTAGAAGAAGCTCAACATACACAGGTTAGCAAATGTTATTAAATAAATGAGAATAAGTAAAAGACTTAATTAATGAGCAGGAAGCTCAGTGGATAAACAAGTGAAAAGATAGAGAGAAAAAGTAGCTGCACAGAAGGACAAATGGATGGTAAGATGGATAGAAGAAAAGGAAAATGGATGGACAAACAGATGATGGAAGAAAGGTAAAGGGATGAATAGGTAAGTGGATGGGAAAACAAATGGAAGGATGGATGTATGGATGTATGGATGGGTGGATGGATGGGTGGATGGATGGGTGGATGGATGGGTGGATGGATGGGTGGATGGATGGGTGGATGGATGGATGGGTGGGTGGATGGGTGGGTGGATGGATGGGTGGATGGATGGGTGGATGGATGGGTGGATGGATGGAAGGATGGATAGATGGAAGGATGAATAGATGGGTGGGTGGTAGGATGGATGGATAAGTGGACAAAGGGATATATATATATGTATGTATGTACAGGCTGACCAATATATCAATGTATGGAAGAAAAGATGGGAGAGTGGCACTAAGACTTTTCAATAGCACAAAGAACTTAAGAAAACGTCACTTATTTCATGCCTGGATCAACACTTGACATCATTAATCTAAACAGATGGCACCACTATCCACATCCTGATTCTGCCTGACTGCCCAGTTCCCCAGAGCTAGCAAACCTGTACCACCAAAGCCCCCCTTATTGTTGGTTGTTGTTTTACTCTTTTGGGGGAGCTGCCACCCAGCTCCCAAATAAATCACATACAGAGGCTTATTCTTAATTATGAATACTCAGCCTTAGCTTGGCTTGTTGCTAGTCAGCTTTCCTTAAATTATCCCATCTACCTTTTGCCTCTTGACTTTTCCTGTTCTCTTGCTTCTGTAAATCTTACTCTTACTGTGTGGCTTGCTGTGTAGCTGCGTGGCTGGCTCCTAGAGTCCTCCTCCTTCTCTGGATACTTCTTTTTCTCCTCTTTTCAGATTTCTTCTTCTATTTATACTCTTTGCCTGCCCCGCCTGTCCTTTCTCCTGCCTCGCCATTGGCCAGTTCTTTATTAGACCATCAGGTGTTTTAGACAGGCACAGTAACACAGCTTTACAGAGTTAAACAAATGTAACATAAACAAAAGTAACACATCTTAAAATAATATTCCACAACACCCTCTCATGTCATGCTTTCTGAGACACAATTTTGAATTTTTTTTTTTGAGCTTAAAGAAAACTTGATTTATATGTTTTACTCTTTTGCTTCAAACAAGATTCTATTTGGAAAACTGTGTGCTGGGAAGATGCTGATGAAGAGTGCCTTTGCTTTCCCAGAGCTGCTGTATCCAGTCGGGTACATAAAACTCATTCACCACGTGTCCCAGTGATGCAAGCAGCTTCGAGTGTGGGTACACACCTCACACTCCCCTGAGAGGAACTAGGTCCCCCCCAGGAGAGGGGCACAGATAAAGAGCCTGGAGCTCAAAATCAGATTCCAGTTGTAGGTTCATGACTTCCTGTCACACTTTGGAAACAACATGGTCAGGGTCAAGGGTGATGTGAACCAGCGCACCTTAGGAGGGGCTGACCTGGGCCGTGTTCATATCGGTACAGGCTTGCCTGACATTTCTAAAATAAAAAATTTAAAAATCTTAAGGGGTAAAAGAAAAAACAAGGGGCTCTTATTGTAAAGTGGTGTTTTTTTACTCTATCAAAAACTTTGCTCAAACAGTGGGGTTCCCAGTACATATAAAGTAGAATTCAGTTTCTAAAAAGTAAGATTAATCTATAATTAAGTAATGAAAAATTGGGCTGGAGAGATGGCTCAGAGGTTAAGAGCACTGGCTGTTCTTCCTGAGGTACTGAGTTCAATTCCCGGCAACCACATGGTAGCTCTCAACCATCTGTAATGAGATCTGGTGCCCTCTTCTGGAGGGCAGGGGTACATGCAGACAGAGCATTGTATACATAATAAATAAATCTTTAAAAAAAAAAAAGTAATGAAAAATTGTCTGGCCATCTTCTCTAAGTTCCTTGTGGTTCGTAACAGAACTTCTGGAAGTTTCTCTCTAGCCTTCCTTGTGCAAAGCATAGAGCTCCTGGGCAGGCTTCCCTCACCTAGCAGAGCCATGGGCTCCCCTTCCAAACATACACAGAGACCGGTATTCCAGTTCACTGCCACTCACACTGTTCCAGAAGGCAGGGTTGAGCCCATCAAAACACCACTGACATCTGAGCACATGTATAATTAGGTATGTGTTGTGGAATATTCTTTTGCACTGTGTGAAGATATTTCACTGTGACTGGTTTAATAAAAATCTAAATGGCCAATAGCAGGCAGGATTTTGGGGGCAGAGAGAACATTGGAAAGAAGAAGGATGGAGTCACAAGGAGACACCAGGACTCAGAGGAAGCAGCATGGGCAATACAGAGTAAAGGTGATACAGCCACAAGGCAGAAAGCAAATGAATAGAAATGGGTTCATTGAAGCTATAAGAGCTAGTTAGGAACAAGCCTAAGCTATCATCAGTGCCTTCATAGTTAAAGTCTTCATGTCAATATTTAGGAGCTGGCTGGTGGGACAGAAAAATCTGCTTACAGGAAGGGCCCCAGGCAATCCCCACCAGTGTCAAGGCAAAGCAGTCGGGCTCCCCAAGGAACTAGACCCCAGGTCGGAAATGGAAGGGTTCCTACTCTGCTTCCCTTGATCACGGCCCCCTAATCTCCCTTGTGCTTTCCACTGCCCACTTTGTAGTCAATGGCCATCATTAATGGGTCAGAGAAAGAGGAAAGAGAGGACCCTTCAAGAGCAATGATGAGGACTAAGCCAGGTATGTGTGGCAGGTTTTCTATCAGTGTGAGAAAATGATATGCAAAATACATGCAAATTTGTCCCTAGTGATGAAGCTCAGCCAGGCTCACTCTCCTTGGGAAGGCCTCGTCCTAGATAGAAGTGAGAGCAACTCTAACTTCAGGTCACCTGGAATGTTTGGTGATAGTAACAACTGAGAGAAGGTCAGCTCTTGGGACCTGGGTCCATTTGGGAAGGTGTTTGTGCCCCTCAACCACCACCAACAATCCATGTGGGGGTCTCAGATTGGAGATCAGCAGCAATACCTGGGTAGGGCCTGGGACTGCCAGCCTCTCTCTTGGATAAAGCCACGGTCTCCTAACGAGGAGCTAGGACTCCATGGGGAAGGTGCCACATAGGAAGGCGATGACCTATGAGGCAGAAACTGAGACGCTAATCAAGTAATCTATCTTAATGAACAGGAACAGATGCTATCCTCCAGGTGCTATGCAGCCCTGGAAGGTGTTGGTGTCTGATCCCTTCAGGAGAGACACATCATTCTTGCCTGCAGCAGAGGCTCCTTGCTTCCTGAAGTCTTCTCTGCCTCAAGGCTGGGGAGGAGCAAGCAGAAAGAAAGCCAACATGCCAGGGACCTCTTTGCAGAGTCAACCGGAAGTGCAACCTCCTGAAGAGCACACTGAAGCTGGCTCCCCATCTGGCTCCTGTGCCTAATAAAATACCAGAAGTGATCCACGGCCATCACCTCTGCCCTTTGTCCCCACAGTGCTGCTTCTGAGGGACCTGCAGAACTAAACTAACCCCGACTGTAAACAACCTGAGGGTACTGAGGAGGCCAAAAACATGCCTTGACCGAACCCTCAGGCTCCTCGGTAGCTCTTTCTGTCAAGCTGAGGCAGGGGCCCCACTGCAGAGCCCGAACACCCTACCACACCACTGGGACAGTCACCTACCTGAGTTGCTGGGAACCAGCAGGAGACAGGTGGGTCTCTTGAGATCCTGAGAGGCCAGGGGTGAGGCAAAACAAGTGAGAGAGGGGAGAAAAGGAAGGCTGGGGGGTGTGGCAGCTTCCTTGTTGGACTATCTTTGTAACGCCCGCCCACAAATAATGACCCGGAGACTTATTATTAATTATGAAAGCTTGCTAACTCTTATAACTTAAACTAACCTGTCTCTATTAATCTACATTCTGCCACGTGGCTCAGTTACCCTGTTCTGTACTGTATGTCCGACTTCTTCAGTTTCTGGAAAAATCATGTACCTAGATTCCTCCTCCCAGTTTCTCTCTCTACCCGGAAGTCCCGCCTATTCTCTCCAGCCTAGCTATTGACCATTCTGCTCTTTATTAAACCAATCAGAAGGCCCCTTAGGCAGAGATGCTGCTTTACAGTGTACACAAATATTCTGCAACATTTCCCCCTTTTTGTCTAAATAAAAAGGAAAGGATTTAACTCTAACACAGTAAAACTATATTTAATAAGAACAACTATCAAGTAAGAATTTACAATGTTCAGTCCACTTGTATTTGGCCATTTGGGAGAAACTATTATCTATCCTATTTTGATGAGTCCAAAGTTTTATACCTAAACCACTTTCCATCATAACTTGTATTACCATCCTAAAAATACCTTTTTAGACCTTAGAACATTTTCTTAGATGAATAACTTAAGCTTTTGTGTCTCTCAGCCTTTATAAACTTTACATTTCTTTCATAAGTTTCATTTTTTAATTTGGTAACAAAGAAAACAGTATAACTATCTAGTCTTCAACCTCCACCAAAGGACCAAGAAGGATATAATATTACCTGAGTTAACAGGAAGTGCAAAGCAAGCAACTTCCAAAACTATAGAAATGACAGAAACAGCTTACTGTCTAGACAGTCATCCATGGTTTCTCTGCAACATTGGCACATCCATCTTCGTCCCACATGCCTAGAATATCTGACAGCATTTTGTGAAGCGTCAATTTTTTAAGGACTGCCCTACCTTCTTGGCAAGTTTGGTAGTCACCTTCTTTTGTGTCCTGCTTGTCCAAGTTGGACAGCATACTGTCAACAGTCAAGGCAAGGGCAGTTTCTTGCCCAGAAGCTAACTTTGCCACAATGAAAGCAAACTGCATACGGCGGTCCTTTGATGCCCATCATCCTTTTTTGGAGTAAATTTGTGCTGCCAGGAACAGAGGGTGTCTCACTGTCATGCAATTAAAATATTTTTTTTTTTTTTTTTGGTTTTTCGAGACAGGGTTTCTCTGTGTGCAATTAAAATATTTTAAATGCCATATTCTGAAGGTCTCTGAAGTGTTTGAAGACCATCTATCTATTTAAACTATCTCTGTTTGACCTTGAAAACATACCTAACATAAGTATAAAGTTTATTGTTATAGATGACTAACTACTAACCTGTCTTTATTATCCTAAATAGCTTTCCAGAACTAAAACTTTACATTACATTTTTAAATGAGCCGCATAAGTACAATACCTTAAACAAGAATAGAAACATATACAGCATAACAAAAATAACCTTAAATCTGTATCAATATATAAAAATCCATACCAATGTAAACTATTTAAGACTAGTAGTTGACTTTTTGGTTTAAAAGTGGATTCAATGATCTATCCTTTTATCCTATCATTTCTAAGGAGGGGGGAGGAGAAAGAAAACTAATCATGTAGGGAAAGAAGGGAACAAAGACAACCAAGAAGTAGAGAAAAATGAAGAGGAAAAGACAGGGAAGTGGAAAAGAGAAGTCACAGGCTCACAGGGGACCAACCTTATCGCTCTGTTTGAGAGACAACCCCTCATTATTCTGGTCTCTGCATGATATACTCTGCTATCATGTGGGCTGCAAGCTCTCTCCCAAGGGTGACCTTCCACCAAGCTTGCGATCACCATGCTCATCCCTTGTCTGGGGTGCTCAGCCCCTGGCTGAAAGGATACTGTAGAGTCTTCATGTAGTTCTGGATGGCCTGGAGCCAGTCTGGGATCGTCATGGACAGCCTGTAGTTTGGGACCTGGGGAATTGAAGGCTACAGAGAGATAAAGAGAGGGGGGTTCCTGTTATTGAGGGGTTGCTTGGGGCACAGCTCCTGGAGCAAGCATGGGGCTAAAATCAAGTGAGAGCTGCTCCTAGGAGCAGACACACACTTGGTACAGTCACCAGTAGCCATGGTGCCTCCCCCACAGCATCTCCCCTAAGATAGCTGGTCCACCATTGAAAGGCCCTCTAAGCCCCCTCCGACATACTCCACTCTGGGTCATGGTTCTCTATGGCCCTCCTGACACTGAGTATAATACAGTTTGACTTCTCTATGGGAACATAACTGCCTTCTCGAGGCCAGGGACTATATCCTGTGGAATATCCCACTGAGACTGGCCCAGGATGGACCCCAAAGTGCTTCACTGACTGACCCTTACATTTTTATCACATGGTCCATTCTGCAGCATGGTTAAGAGTGACCCCATTATATGTGCTCCCATCGTGAGCATCGTTGACACAGGACACAAGACAAATGGCATCCAAGATAAATAACTACAGCTGAATGGTGCACCAGCCACAGGCACCATTTCTCAACACCACACACCTCACATGCCCACTGCTTCCCTTCCTGAGCCTGTTTCCTGAGTGCCAGATTAAGGAAGGCCCTCCTTTTGCCGACTCTCCTCAGGTAAGTGCTGTGCCTCTCCTCATGAGGCATCCTCATGGGAGCTCAGCCAGCTCTCCTTCCCCAAGTGCCTACAGTCAGCACTCAACCAAACCCCTCCCTAGACACAAGGACACCAGCCAGACAGGAAGACATTAAGGTTTGTTTATCCCCATTGACTCCTCATCTTCTGCATGTTTGTGGTGGGCTGTCACTGGTGACTAAGAAATTTGGTCCCTATGAGTGCAGGATTAAGGGAGGAGGCTCCTCTAGGCGTCTGCTTCTTCAAAAAAAAGTAAAAAGGGTGAAAAGAAAGATTAGTCTCATCTTTGGAGGAAACAGGGCCAGCTTTGCAAATGGAAGGGGAGCTGCTGGTAAAACCGTTAGCTGATCGAATGGGGACAGCCCAGCTGGACAGCAGAGCCAGACACCACCTAAGCAGTTCCTGGCTCTCCAGGCATGGGCTCCACCGTGCACAGTGAGAGATGGGCATGGTGCCCTAAGCATGGGGTAGGCAGCCCTTCCCCAACTTGTGCAACATTTACTGCCAACATTCCCTGATGACAGCCTCTCCTCGGTGCCTCTAACTCAGCCTCGGCTCTGAGGCATTCTAAATTCACAGAAACCATCCCTTCAGCTGGAAGGGAAGCAGTCACACTTGGTACATCCAAGCCAAGGCGCCGTGTGTGTGTGTGTGTGTGTGTGTGTGTGTGTGTGTGTGTGTGCACGAGCATTGCTGTGTGGGCACACACAGGCCCAACTGTTCTACAAGCCACATTTTCTCTCCAACACCTCAACTCAAACTCCTTGTCTGGGAGAGTCACTTTGGAGGGCAAAAGATTCCAATTTGAAGATTTGTTCCCATGACTCCATTTGATACCCCCTCCCACTCCCCCACACATACACTCCCACATAAACAGTTTCTCACACACAAACTCACACATGAATTCTCTGTCCAACCAACACTAGCAAGTGTTGAGACTTCCTTGTTTTTTCACAGTAACACCCACATGTCTACCAAACCTATGTAACAAAATCAGAGGTTTCAAAGAGAGGTGAGAAGAGAAGCGAGGCTGAAGAACAGACCCTTCCTTAGCACCTCCATGTTGTGAGCGCTAGGCCAGGTACAGAGCAGGAAACATGGGAGCAGAGAAGAAAGGGAGACAGAGATTCCCTCACAGAAAAGTCAGGAAGCGAGGGACACGAGAGAGAGAGAGAGAGAGAGAGAGAGAGAGAGAGAGAGAGAGAGAGAGAGAGAGAGAGAGAGAGTCCCTGAACACGTAGCCCCTGACTTGGCTCAGAGTCCATTTTGGGAGCTGACCACAGAGTTATTTCTACCCCTCCCCCACCCCACGAAGCCCATAGAGGGTGTGAAGCGGGGCTCAGAGGACAGCTGGGCCTCAGAATAGCAGCCAATGGCGCCCAAGGGATTTAGGAAAACAGCTGCACAGTTACCTCAGCTGGCTGCAGCCACATTTGCTCCCAAGTAGGAGGACAAAAGTAGGCATTCCCCGAGGTGGGCTGCAGCAGGGCTGTGTGGGGAGAGCCAAGGGGCTCAGTGGAAGATACCATCAGCTGCTAGTCACCCTGAAGTCAGGTGAGCTGGCTGGGGCTCAGCCTGAGGCGACTTCAAACAGCACCTCAGGCAGCCTGGACCTGGAGTATAAACCAGAAGGGCCCCCGAGGTGCTATGAGGAAACATACACAGTGGTTCAAATCCCTGCTCTGTCTCCGACCAACTGTGGACCCTGGTCACATGACAGGACCCCCGAGAGCCTCCACTTGCATGCAGGTAAAATAACAACACTGCCTCATCTGCCTGGGAGCTGTACGACAAGGCAGCAGGGATGGCGCGGCACACACAGGTGTAAGTGTGCCATTATCCATCAGTAACATGCTCTCCGGAGCTGGGTTAGAAGAGGCTCAGAATCAGCAGGGACCCTAGTTCCTAGACCCTGAGGTTTCACTTCCTGAGGATGTCTTCCTACCCGATAGTTAAGAACATCAACTCCATTGCCAAGTTCAGCACATGCTGACAAGGAGGAGGTGTCCTTAATTGGTGGAGACTTCACAGAGTGATAAGAAAGCTCATTAGGCTCTGAGCAAAAGCGGGGCCAGCTCAGTGCCTGTGGATGGGTAGAACAAAGAAACAAAACTCCATCCAGAGAGGGATGCTAGTCAACTTTCAAAAGCAGGCACATATTGGGGACACACTGAAACGTGGATGAACCTTGAAGTGAGCCGACCTCAAAACAGCCAATACTGGGTCAGGGAGACAGCTCAGCAGGAGGCCTTTGCCGAAGCCACATGGTGGGAAGTGACCCACACCTGTCTGACCTCTGCATGTGTGTCTTGGTGTGTATGTACACGCACACATAAATGTAAAAACGGTTCTAAAGGTAAAGTCTACATAGTTCCTCATGCATGAACTTCCTAGAGTGGCCAGCCTCACAGACAAGGCGGGGAGCGGCTGTCCGTGGTTGTCAGGGTGTAAGCGCCGGGCAGTCGGTATTTAGTGTGTGGGTGTCAGAGGGAAGTGAAAGGTTTTGGAGATGCATGGTGGTGATGGAAGCGTGACCATGTGCACATCCTTTATGTCACAGAACTTTCTATCACTGTGACAAAGTCCCTGAGATAGTCAGCTTATAAAGAACAAAGGTCTATTTTTTCCTCACAGTTTCAGAGGTTTCAGCTCATGGTCACAGCACATGGTGGAGGGAACCTGTGGTAAACAAGGTCTGTCACCTCATGGAATCCAAGAAGTGAGAGGAGAAAGGAGCGGCATTTGGGATCCAAACAGCAGCATCATACCTTCAAAATGGTCAAAAGGAAGGTAGTGTACCATGTATTTTACCACAATCAACAAATAAGGTCACAAAAAGTGGCTTACTAAAGGAGAAATGTAAATAATGACTGTCTGGAAGAGGTTTAAACTCACTAATAACTTAAACACAGATGGAAGCCCTGTAAAATGTCATCCTCCATCCTTCCTGTTAGTCTCCATGCTCTGAAAGGCAGACCCAGTGCTGGTGATGAAGCCCTGGAAGTTTAGAGGATTTGGAAAAGGAGGGTGTGGGGTAGGCAGGGAAGAATAATGAGAAGTACAGGCAAGCCTCTGGCGGCCGCTTCTCCACCTCCTTCTTGCCAAACAAGAAAGCTGACAGAAGGCGAGAGGGAAGGCTGCAGGTGAGCACAGGTGTGCAGCTGGCATGGTCGTGAAGAAGGGAAGGGGAAGCTGGGCCTGGAGCCAGAGAGGCAGCAAGAAGCCCCAACTCGAGCAACCTTGGACAAGAACAAGGAGAAACCAAAGCATTTCTTTAACTGCACAGGAGTAGCATGAAGCAGTCATAGTCCCAGGATGGCCCCGGGCTCCTGCATCAAAGGGCCCAGCCTGTGGTCTGGGACAGAGGTCCTGGAGTCGCATCTTGTGACGATCCAGACTGATAGTTCGGAATCCAGGCCACAGAACGGAGGGAGCATCCTGAGAGCAGAGGGAGCAGGGGCAGAGCCTGCAGGAGAGTTTCAGATCCCTGCTCACACTTCAGATCTCAGCCCTCTAATGTGAATTCTTTCCAAATTTGGAATCACTGTGAAAATGAGACACACACATGGGGACTGCAAGAAACCCAGCGGCCTTTCTGGCTGAGCCGCCCTGGTGTCCAGCCTCAGCAGAGTAGGACTTGGGGCACCAGGATGTCTGAGAGCCAGACCTAGAAGGGCCAGTTGCTCCTCTGCACCTGCCTCTCTCTGCCCATTCTGTGTGACCCCAGTGACGCGATCTTTTCTTAAATTACCCCAGCAAAAGCCTGGATTGGACCTAGTCAGGTGCTCACTTGGACTCAGCAACCATGAGTGGAGAAGAATGCAGTCACAATCTGGAGAGGACCTCAAGTGATACTCCCCACCCCTGCTCCAAGGAGAGGTACCCAGGCCTTCAGGCAGAACTTATTACGGTTCCTAACTAAGGTCTTGTAGTTGAAGGACACGTCTTCCGTGCCTCACAGACCCTGGGAACTTGCTCCAGATACTCTCTTGCCTCAGTTCCCACTCTTTTGATAAAGTAGTTAACCTTGCCCAAAGTCTGTAATCCTTCTTCAGCAACGCCCCACTACACACCTTTGCTGTACGTTCCTCACAGAGTGGTGTTGGCTCGGCCAAAGGAGAAAAACTGGGCCCCAGGAGAGACTGCCGAGCCCTGGAGCTGGAGGGGAATGGCCTCTGACAGAGCAGCTTGAGATTTGCATGCCTGTGCCTGGGAAGGAGCCAGGATGTGGGGGACATGGAAGCCAGGAGATGCCATGATGGGACTGGGGATGGAGAACCAACTATTAAGACTCAGTGCTCACTTGGAAGGTAGAGACTAGGCTCAATGGCCAGCCTCAACAAAGTGAACTGGAGACTAACTTAGGCTACATAAGAACTTCTCAAAACACAAAACCAAACAAAAAACAAATATGCAATGTAGGAAAATGAAATCTTATGCTCTTATTCAGGTTTCAAGACCCAGTTGTCACCAGGGGGTGGTAGGACATGCCTATAAACCCAGAAATCAGAACCCTGAGGCAAGAAGACCACAAGTTTGAGACTAGCCCCAGATACAACAAAGACCCTGTCAAAGAATGGGGAGGCCTAGAGAGATGGCTCCATGGTGAAGAACACTGAGTTCAATTCTAGCACCCACATGGTGACTCACAATTGTCTGTAACTCCAGTTCTGGAGGTCCCAACATCTTCTTCTGACCTTTGTGGGCACTCATGACATGGTACACAGACACATATGCCAGCAAAACACCCGTACACATAAAACAAGTCTTTAAAAGTTAAAAAATAAATAAATAAAAGGAGCCGGGCAGGAGGAAGAGACAGGCAGATCTCTATGAGTTAGAGGCCAGCCTGGTCTACAGAGCGAGTTCCAGGCCAACCAAGGCTTCAGAGTGAGACCCTGTCTCAAAAAAACAAAAAGCAAGCAAACAAACAAATAGCAAAAACAATAACAAATCTAGAGCGACCAATGGCCTGTGCTCAGCTAGAGGAGTCCCGACTTACCAGCAACCGTCAGGAGGCTCTTGGGTTACAAGGAAAATACAATACGACACATATAAGATGCAGGAATATTTTCTTTTTTGAAACTAGGTCTCACTACACATTCCAGGCTGGCCTTGAACTCAGTGGCCTAGAACTTGTAATTTTCTTGCCTCTCCCTCTTGAGTGCTGAGACTACTGGTACTCACCACCATGCCTGACTGGAGCATTCTTTTATAAAAAGGAAGCATTCAGCTGTAGAACTGGAAGCATCACCTCAGCAACACTTAGAATACTGCATCTCACTTGTGTTCGTATGGGGACCGCCTGAGGGCAAATGAGCCAAGGTCCCAGAAAGAACAGACTGACGTGGGGAAGAAGAGAATGAAGAGAAGAAAATGAAGAGGAGGAGGATGATGAGGGAGAAGGAAGAGGAGGCCACAGAGAACAGAGGCAGGGTGCCTCTGTCTTGTACTAACTCCCTCTCAGGAGGACTTGAGTGAGAGACATCATCACCAATACTAAGATCCAATGCTTGTCCACACAGAGAAGGACTCCCGCACATAAAACTGGGGTAACCATAAAGGCACATGGAAGGAGGTGCAGGAATCAGAAAGCCAGCCCACACAGTGGCATGCAGCCTCTGCTCCCTCTGGCCAACTCTTGCATGTGTAAGGACTCTGGTGGATCATGGTAAGCAGAGGAAGATGGTCTCAGAACCTGGGCTGTCTGTGTTCGAGAGCAGGGCTCATTACTGCTGATGCTGGGGCATCAGCTTCTTGTCAGACAAGCTCCTATTTGGAGGGAATAAATTCCCCGACTAGCAGAGTAATATAGCACGATGGAGCGGGAAGCAGAGAGCCTCCTCCACTTCCCCAAGGGCACACACACAGCCTTCTGGTCTACAGGCTTGCATGCTCAGCTGTGCACAGACAGGCTAGGACTGACTACTGCATGGCTCTGGGGTATGTGATTCCTGCACCTTCTCAGGATCCTTCTCAGCAAACAGGTCCCTAGAGTTCAGGGAAGCCATCTCCATAGTGGCACACCAGGCTTTCATCTAGCTTGCGTTTTGCTATTTTATATAACAGGACACTCCCACCAGGGGACATCTTCCCTCTGTAACCATATCCTTGGCCACAAAGCTCAACCGCTCGCTGGCTGCTCTCCCGAGTAGAAAGAGAGCTTCACTTGGCCTCTTCCTTTACCGGGGAGACTAATTCATCCTGTGTATTGGAAAGTCCCTTTTAAGCCACAGCCAAACGCTTCCCTTTTCTCCCCATGGCGCCAGATAAGCTGGGAAGAGGCAGTTCACTGTTTTCTGCAAGTTCCAGAGGTAAAAGTCACTGTCATAAAAAAGGAAGGAAGGAAGAAGGAAAGAAAGAAAGAAGAAAAAGAAAATTGGCAAAAAGTCTAGAAATGATTCACGCTGAGGAGTCTGGCTGGTTGACTACAAATTCACTCACGGCTCCATAAATCATTTGCTAGGGGGACAAGGGAGAAGTGAAACACTCCACGGAGGACCGGCGGGGTGGACATGGGGTTCTATGCTTTCTTAGAGTGACTTGTGTTGACCTGGTGACACTAGCTTTTGATGAAAATGTTACAGGGGCTGAGTACATAATGGATTTTAGCTCAGCCTAACCTTACAGGGCCAAGCCAGCAAGCCCCCTGCCTATCCCTTCTGGCAGCGGAACAGAGACAGGACTCAGTAGCTGGACATGAGGTCTCTGCTCCCTGCTCCGCCCTAGCTGAGCCGGTCCCATGCCGCCCATTCGGACCATCTCGCCTTCTCCTAGTCACACCACTGACCTTAGCCAGGAAGGCAGCGTTTCTGATGGCGCCCACCATCTCTCCCCCTTTGGGGTGGACCTTGGCAACATGCAGCCACATCCGCTCCCAGGTGTGGCTGTCGATCGGGAAGCCACTCTTGTTCACGTGGAACAGCACCCCGCCGTCTTTGTCCTCCTCCTCCGAGCCCCCGCTGGTGGCGAGGCTTACTGGCCGCGCGTGGCTGCTCCGGGACCGGGTGCCTTTGGCGCCTTTGGGGTGGGGGCAGCGATGAGTGTCCGCGGCGGAGCCGGTCATGGTGAGGGGCACGCGGCAGGGGACTTGGGCGCGCCGGAGATCAGAGCCCTGCGGGGGTGGCCTTCATCTCTCGCGGCCGCAGGACGCACTAAGGGAACTGCCGGGCTCCCCGCTCACCGGCCGGGCCTGAAAGCAGTGGAAACAGCACACACTGCGGCTCAGTAGACAGGCAAGGGGGCTCCCGCCCACTCCCTGCCTCGCTGCCCGAGACCCACCCCCTTAGGACTAACGCGAGCCTCTAGCCCGGCGGATTACCTAGCAAGGCGGCTGGAAAGGCGCCACGAAGACTCACACCCAGTTGCACCCGGGGATGGGGAGACATGCAAGGAGCACGGGGTGCAGAGGGGACAGGGTAGGAAGAAGCAAGACAGCTGTGTAGCAAGAAGACACAGGGGACCCCTCCAGGATCCACTCATCCCTGGGTCCCTAGATGTGGTGGATTGCCACCGACCCACAGCAAGCCGGCACGTGAGCACCCAGGGCTGGCACGAGGGCGCCGCAGCAGCCTCTGCTTGCTCAGGAGGCCTGGCGTCTTCCCGGAAGCCCCCCAAACCCTGGCGCGCGAGGGGCGGCTCCAGCCGGGGTTCCCGGGCAAGCGCAGCGCCGCCCCCTTTCCCGCGGGTCCCGCGCGGACACCGTGAGTGGCAGCTGCGAGCAGTCAGGGCACGCGCGGGGCACGGGGACCCACCTCGGGCCAACCAGCCTCATTGCTGCAGAGGGCTGCTGGAGCTGCGGCGGCCGTCACCTCATTCCATGTCCCATTCTCGAATGTTATTCTGTGACATATAATCGAGTCACCCGGGCAGCCGCCGATGTTCCGGATGCATCCATTGGACACCGCAACAAAGAGGGGCGGGTCCCGGGCTTGGGACTCTACAACCCGGAGCTGTGCAGCTCTGTGATTGGCTCTAAGGTCCCCAGACGGGAGGGGATCGGAGTAAGGGAAGCTGGGCTGCCACGCGAAATCCGATGCTGCGGTGTCCTGGGAGCCCTGCGGAGCTCGAGCAACTATCCAGGGACTAAGGTCCAGTTTCCCGGGGGCGGAGGCGCAGCAGTGAAGACCCGGAGATGTGACTCGGAGGTATAGCGGGTCTTGGCGTTGGAGCCGTGTTTGCCCTGGGCACAGTGACCCAGCCCTACACAGGGCTCTCTGGGTGGCTCAGGAAATGGTCAACATTAATACTTAGCAAAATCCTCCATTACAAGTTTCTCTCCAGATTAACAAGTGGATACCGCCTTACATCTTCTGTTAGTAGTCATGGCTAGCAAGGTCCCTCAATCCAAGCTGCTGTAAGATACAAGAGGCCAGCCAGGCCCCTTCTGCCACAGCTACTGGTTTCTGGTGGGATGCTTGAAGCCAAGGAGTGGCCCTCCCACAGTCCCCACTACAACACTACCTTTTTTTCCTCTCCTCTCCTCTTTCTCCCCCGACACCCCTTTTTTGAGACAAGGTCTCACAGCACCCAGGCTGGCCTCAAACTTGCTATGTAGAGAAGGATAGCCTAGAACTCCTGGCCCTGTCTTCACCTTTCAAGCGCTGGAATTACAAGGGCCTTACAAGTCCCTTTCATGTATGCTGGGGATAGCACCCAAGGTTATGCGAGGCAAGTACTTTACTAAATGAACTACCTCCCCAGCCCTGAAATACCTTTTTCTTTCTTTGTGTGTGTGTGTGTGTGTGTGTGTGTGTGTGTGTGTGTGTGTGTAGGTGTATGTCTATGTGTATATGTGCATGTGTGTGTATGTGCATGTCTGTGTGGATGTGTGTGAGTGTATGTCTGTATGTGTCTGGTGTATGTGTGTGTGTAGCTGTACATGTGTGGAGATCAGAGGACAGCATGCTGGTGTTCATTCTCTCCTTACACCATGTAGGTTCCAGAGATCAAATCCGGGTCTTCAGACTTGGTGGCAAGCCAGCACCCACTGGACTGTTTCACCAGCCCCCAATACCTTTTTCCTGATGATGCTCTCTTGCTTCCTTCTCCCTTTCTTTGTCCCCCACCCCCCCTTACTCCTTATTCCCTATCTTCTTCCTTTTTGAGAAAAAAAATGACAAGGTGAAGTGTGAAAAACCACAGACCACTGACCCCGAGGCTCAGAAAGTCTAGGTTCGCCTCTTGCTGAGCTGTGTGACCCTGGATACACAGTTTGTGTACTCTGGACCTTCATGTCTCTTTTTTCTGTTTTTTGTTTTTTTGTTTTTTTTTTTTTTTTTTTTTTTTTGGTTTTTTGAGACAGGGTTTCTCTGTGTAGCTTTGCACCTTTCCTGGATCTCGCTCTGTAGACCAGGCTGGCCTCGAACTCACAATGATCCACCTGCCTCTGCCTCCCGAGTGCTGGGATTAAAGGCGTGTGCCACCACCGCCCGGCCTTCTCTTTTTTTTCTGAAAGAAGGAAAACCAGAGCCCTCCCCTCTGCGTTCTGGCTCTCAGGTCTTGTGACTGCGAACTGCTTTCTCCTGAACCCCTAGGAGCCTGGCTGTCCGAGCCTGGCTCTGAACTGGAGGACAGCAGCCTAGCTTCAAGCAGGTGAGTCAGCTGTGCGGACCATGGGAAGCAAACCTCTCTGCTGGACACCGTGGGAAAGAGCCCTGCACAGGGTCCATTTCTGGCTGCTCAGCTATATACGGGGCTCAGAATGGAAACCTCTATAAGGCAGGCAGGGTAGGAGCCGGGATAAGCAGAGGACCAAAGAGGGGACCTGGGTTCTGAACCTGCCAGCACAGAGCCCTGGCATGGGACTATGCAGTCAGCACTGAGCACAGCAATGCCAGTCTATGTGAACAAAGCCAATGGGCCACATTGGAACTATGCCATCAGTCCATAGACAACAAGCCCCCCTGGAAAAGAATCTGGAAACAGAAAGACAATGGGTGCCCGGAGAATCTCATTCCTAATTAAAATGACACCCACCCTAGAGAGTGATCCGTCTTCTCATCTCAAACACCCTCCTCCCCTCTTTCTGCAGGTCATCCTTTAGTCCATTTCTCTCCCTTCCACTTCCCTGGTTCCCAGTTCAGAAGAGACTTCCAGGACAAGCACGTGTGTGGATCAGAATTTGGCCTTGCAGTCCCTTAGAGAAGATAGCTCACACACACCTGAGGTGAACAGGCTGTTTTGTAAACATCAAAGAATGGCAGAGACCAGGTTCTCGGCCCTTACAGCCACTTCCGCTGTCCACACATAGACCAAGTCCACCCAGCCAGCACCCAGCATCTTGTCCAACCGTAGCCTGAATCCTTTAGTCCATTTCTCTCCCTTCCACTTCCTGATTTGCCTGAAACTCCAGACACCAGAAGGAGTTTGTGTTTCACCTTCCTGCTTTGACATGCCTCACAGCTCACTGACAGTGGACGGAGAGCATTTGCTGCCAGTCCCCGGGATTCTGGTTCCTGATTTCTTCTTCCCACAGATGGGATGAGCAGTGTGGCCTGTGAAGATAGGCACAAAATTCAGCAACTTTCCCAGTGAGGTCAGTGCAGCCTCCTGAGTGAACTTGCCGGCCCAGGGGCCCAAGACCTCTTCACTGAGAGCTGTGCTGATGTGCAAAGAGAGAGTGGGCAAGGACCGAAGTCCCAGTCCCACTTAAAGGACGTCCTCGATGACCTAACTTACTTTTGTTAGACCTGTTGTGGGTTTGAATGTGAAATGTCCCCCATAGGCTCATGTGTTTGAACGCTTGCTGTCCAGCTGACAGCATGATTGGAGACAGCTGTCAAGCCTTTAGGAGTTGAAGTGGGTTATTGAGATAAGAGACTGAGGGTTTATAACCCATGCCCACTTCCAGTCTGCTCTCTGTTCCTCCTAGACCTGAGGTGAGGGACCAGGTGCACACTCCTGCCACCATGGAGCCACCCACCACCATTAGAGACTGGGTCCCCCCAAACTCTGAGCCAAAGATAAACCATTTCTCTCAAGTTGCATAGTGTCGCGTAATCGCCCGTCTCCTAAGGAAGGTGCCGCCTCCTGACAGCATCACTGCCCAGCAGCCAGGACCAGCACGTGACTTCTAGGGACCCAAGTCTGTTGTTTTTCATTCAATACAGTGGCCGCTCCTTAAGCAACTGCTGTCCCATCTGGCAACTGCAACTCCTACCAGCAGCTGTGTGGCCACGGGGGCCACAGCCAGGTGGGATTCTGTTCCCTCGGGCACCGGCTCTCTCAGGGCCACTGAAGAAAACTACCTAAATCTCTATCATTCTATAGAACTCAGGGTTCGAAGGCTGAGGTGAAACCCTGCTGGCTCAAAGAGGCTGAATAACAAATAGCTAATCTTCTTTCCTTGCTCAAGCCTCCGGAAAAAAGGGGCCGTCCTTTCTTCTGCTCAGCCCCCACTAAAGAGCCCTCTCTGTACTTAGTTCCTCCCTATCCTTCCGGACAGCTAGCCGCTGACTCAGCCTCCTGACCCCAGGTTAATTTTATTTAATCAAACAAATGTAACACATCTTTTATTGTTAACAAAGCAGCAGAAACAAATGTAACACAGCTTCGCACAGTTAAGGTAGTATTCCACAACACAAGTCATAATATAAGGTATGAGAAAACCCGTACAAAGAGCCTGGTGCGTGTGAGCTGGGCCTCACTTTGAATCTGAGACACTACACAAACAGATTTGGAGACATCTGTGACTAGTGTGTCTCATTGTGTTAGTCGAGACTGAGAAATGGCTGCAGTTACCCAGCAAAAGGAATAAACGTTTGAAGAAAGTCACGGGCATATGAAGGGGAACATAGCTTAGAGAAACTAGGAGGAGGTGCTGGGCACACAGGAAGAACTGGACGAGTTTTTTCCACAGATAGCACGGAGGAGAAGCCACACAGTTGTGGGCAGAATTGTGTATGCTCCTGCACTGAATCTGCATGCTGATGTTCTAACCCTCAGTACCTCAGAATGTGATATTTGCAAATATTGTCACTGAGATGTAATTAGTTATGATGAACTCATACCAAAGAGGTCGGGCTCCTACTCTAATATGAATGATAGACTCATGAAGGGAAAATTTAGATGCTGAGACAGCTAGGTGCATGAGGAAAAGACGGTGTGAGGATTGGAGCTACTTCCCCACAGTGGAGGAACTGGAGCCAGGAGACAGGTGTGGTACAGACTGGCTGAAGTGTCTTCAGAGGGAGCAGGCCTCGATGAGGCCTGGCTCCCTGACTCCTTCCAGTTTCCACCAGGGTGGGTGGTCAACCGCTGTGTAGACCATGCTGATTGCAGCTCTTCCTCACTGCTTCTCTGACAAGCTACATGACTCTGGGCTGCCAGGACTCAGCTCAGGTATGGGAGCTGGCTGAACCAGAGAAACGACTTTTCCATTCAGTATCAACACTAACACTACATAAACTGTGAGATTCAGCAACATTGGTCTAAGACAGTAGGAGAAAACACCAAGCAAGAGGTCCACCCACATTTCTGTATTTTCTTTTGACCTTTCAAGCTCTCTCTCCTCTGAGATGTCACCTGTATTACATGACTGTCTGGCTTGAGTGTGAACTGCCCCTCTGAGACTCCTATGTTAAAGGTGCAGTTCCCTGAATGGTGGCACTATGTAGGGACATACTGGAAACTTGAAAGGCAGAGCCTGGCTGAGAGAAGTAGTCCGTTGGAGGTGTGACCTTGGGGACATGCCGTGCCCTGGCCCAGCCCTCTCTGCTTCCTGGCTGTCCTGACGAGAGCAACTCTGCAGCCCCTGGTCCTTCATCTGTGAAGTACTGCTTTGCTTGGCTCAGAAACAACGGAGCCAGAGATGGTGGATTGAAATCTCAGACGCTGTGAGCCAAAGTAACCGCCCCCAAAACTGTATCTATCAGGTGTTTCTGATGGTGATGGAAAAACCAAGCAATGGATTGAACCGCACCAATCACCACTGATACACACAGTGGTGTTTGCATTGCTCCTAATTGTGCTGGGAGCAGGTCTTGCCATATGAAGAAGAGAGGCGACCTCCACTGGGTGTTTGGTCTATGCTGAGCACAACTTGAGCCCTGCACATGTATCCTGTTACTTAATGCTCACAAGGAACCTGTAAGTTTTAAACCAGCACTAGGAAAGCTTATGTAATTTGC